TATATGTCTTCATCCTAACAAATCACACTGTTCTTTAATTAGAAAGTTAACAAAAGGAAGAAGTTTGTCATCGTTTGTCCAATAGTAGGAGTCTGCCAGGTAACTGGACAGAAGTTAAACCTGCTTTATGCTAATGCTGCGCTACCACCTTGTGGACAGAAGGTAAATAGCACTGAGCTGCTCGACACGCAGGTACGGTGTCCATATGAAATAAATACAGCACCAGGTGGGAAGGTTACTGCGGGCAGTCCAACTGAAAAGGACAGTATAGTCTGAATCCTTCAGCCTGAGCCAGTTCAGGATCTGGGCAGCCAACGGAAGCCAAGTTGTGAATATCTGCTGGATTTCTAAAGTGTGAGAGCAGGTGATGGGTATTCCTCAAAGGGATAGGGCGGCCTGATTCTCCTCTAGGACAGAGACAGAAACAAGTAGGAATAAAATCATGTTCCTATCATATTAGTTTACTAATGCTTTTATATAGGCAACTCCTCTGATCTGCCTGCTCTCAACTGCAGTCCTCAGAGCTGCTAGCTCCTTCTTGACTTTGTTCTGCCTGCTAGCTCAACTGACAAGTCCTTTGGCAGTGTAATACCCTGGAGTTCCTACTCCTCTATGGTCTTCTTTCCACATGTTGGGATTAGAGCACCTCTTGCATTTTAGTGCTGTGCTTCAGGGAAAATAGAAACAGAGCACTACCCAAAATTTCAGTTACTGAACATGCTAGTAATATTATTGGTAGCCTGCTCATCAGGATGGGATGAAGAGCTATGGCATAGGTCTGTTATGGCATTAACAGATTCCAGAAGAAGGTGTATTCTAGACCTCATCTTCCTTTTCCCTAAAACTGAAGGCAACCCCATGGACCAAGAGAAGGTTTTACTGACTGATGTGCTTCCTCGCACATGAAATACACTAAGATTTAAAAAATAAGTGTTACTCAGGCATTTCAATTACATGCCAAAGATGATGGTTCTGATTTGGGTCTTATATGGTTGAAGGCAAAAACTTTCAGGAGACTGAGCCTCTTGTTGGTCAACAGGTTAGAGATCCAGATTTATAATGATGCCAAATTCTCTCTGTGGTCTTATGTGACATAAAATCAAACTGAGGCTTTCCACATCCAGAGAACATATCCAAAACTCCCCAGTTTATCTGATATTATAGAAAATTCCTCAATTGCATTTCTATTAGGGTAGCTCTCTTCTTTTGGTAAATTAGGCTTCCACGGGAGCAAGAACAAGATTTTGGGTCTCTAACATGGCTATAAATTGCCTTAATGGTAGGTAGCAGAATTCCTGCTGCTTTTCTCCATCTCACCTGCCCCATCCTCTACATTTTCATAAAACAGTTTGAGCATTTTTCCAGAATTTCCTCTTCCGAGCTCAAGAATGGTCAATCCTGTCACACAGGAAGGCAAGGAAAGACACCCGTGCAGGAGGCCTGCAAGTGTGAAACAAGTAGCTCCAGACAAACCTAAAACAGAAAAAGAAACATGCAAGAGGTGGCATTAGTTTCAGATCTCCCATAAGGAATATAGATATATCATGCAGGGATACAATTAGGAAAACCAAAGAATCTGGTAAGCGATGTAAAGGGCAACAGGAAGGGCTTCTACAGACATATCTGCAGAAAAATCTGGAAGAAATGTAGGTGTGCTGCTGAGTCAGGTCATGGAAAAGGCTGAGGAACTCCTTGACTTTTTGGCTGGAGAAATGGGACAATGGGAATCTTGGGAAACTCAGTGAAGTACAAAATCCTGCACTTGAGGATGATTAGCCCCATGAACCAGTGCAGGCTGGGGAGATCCACCAGCTGAAAACAAGCTTGTGAGAAAAAGTCTGCTAGCCTGGGGCTACCAGTGGTCAATAAATTGACTTTAAGCCAGGAATCTACCTTTAAGGCAAAGATGGTCAACAGCATCCTAGGCTGCATTAGGGAGACCACTGAAGGTGGATGGAGGAAGGTGATCCTTCCTTTCTGCTCACCACTGGTGAAACCACATCTGGAGTGCTGCAGCCAGGGCAGAGCTCCCTGTACAAGGACATGGACATACAGGAGCATGTCTAAGGAAGGACCATGAACATGATTTAGGGATTAGAGCATGTGAAATACAAGGAGATGCTGAGAGAGCTGGGACTGTTCAGCCTGGAAAAGAGAAGGCTCAGAGAGACCTTATCAGTATGTATATATACCGGATGAGGGGAGCGAAGAAGGTACAGACTCCTCTCAGCAGTAACCTGTGAAATGACAAGAGGCAATGGGCATAATTTCAAATACAGGAAATTCCATTTAAATATAAAAACCTTTTTTTTTACTGGAAAAGTGATCAAACACGAGAACAGGCTGCCCAGAGAGGTTGTGGAGACCCTGTCCTTGAAGATATTAAAATCCTGATGGGACACAGTACTGATCAACCTGCTCTAGTGACCCTGCTTTCAGTAAGATCTTGGACTAGACAGACTCCAGAGGTCCCTTCCAACCTCTGTGATTCTGTTAAATAACATGTTCGTTATTCCAGACACAGTTCTGATAGGAGCAATGTTCCTGTGCACAATTTTTTGTTCCCTTTTTGGCAAAGGGAGGAAAAACATTTCTATCTTTTGATTCTGCTTGCACGATAACATTTAGCTCACAACTACTGTGGGACATGAATGAGTCCTCATGCTCTTTTCAGTGCTTTTCTCTGCCCTACTTCTCCTGTTACCCAAAGAAACTTACTTAAGCATCACAGCTCTCTTCTAGCCCCAGCTTCTGTCTTACAAGGAGATGGGAAAGACCAAAGTATATATATATTATTTTTTGGTCTGTCAGAAAAACAGAATAAGCTTAGGGCATGAAGGGTAGTAAATGTATTGCAGGTGTTCTTCCTGTCCAGCTGTATGGAATAGTGGTCCTTTAATTCAGGATCTGATTGCTCACACCTTGTTCTGCCTCAAGTGCAGCAAAATTTCTATACGGGACTACCATGAATCTAGGACTGTCATTTATGCTTCCCTGCTGTCCTTTTGATCCTCTCTTCCACTGACCAATACTGTGAAATAGCAAAGGTGCCGTGGAGAAATAGGTTGTGTACCAAAGACTTTAATCTTAAAGATATGTTAATTTCATCTACTGAGATCTTGCTAGTGACAAATTTCCATGTCATACCAAAAATAACAATTTCTTTACTGAGGGTGGAAGTCTGGTAATGTGACAAATGCTGAATCTGTTTCTCTGGAGAGAAATTTCTAGCAGAAGACTCTGTGATGGTGTTGTAGGAGGAATTCAGAGCAAAACAGTTCTTGCTGGGTTTTGTTGGTGCCCTCAGCTACAGGAGCACATTCTTTCTCACTTACAGGAGTTTGGTTACTTATGTAAAAAATTATTTCTTTTTGCTCCATGTTTCCCAGTTGTGTCTTCAACATAAAAAGGACATGGAGCTGTTGGAGCAAGTCCAGAGGAGGGCCACAAGGATGACAAAGGGGCTGGAGCACCTCCCGTATGAAGACAGGCTGAGAAAGTTGGGGCTGTTCAGCCTGCAGAAGAGAAGGCTGCATGGAGACCTCACAGCAGCCTTCCAGTATCTGAAGGGGCCTACAAGGATGCTAGGGAGGGACTCTTCATTAGGGACTGTAGTGATAGGACTAGGTAGCGGGTTCAAACTTAGAGGAAGTTTAGATTTGGATATAAGGAGGAAGTTCTTTACTGTAAGGGTGGTGAGGCACTGGAATGGGTTGCCCAGAGAAGTGGTTAATGCTCCATCCCTGGTGGCGTTCAAGGCCAGGTTGGACAGAGCCTTGGGAGACATGGTTTACTGTGAGGTGTCCCTGCCCACGGCAGGGGAGTTGGAACTAGATGACCCAAAGGTCCTTTCCAACCCTAACTATTCTGTGATTCTACGATTCTATGATATTATCTATCTTACTCTGTCTTGTATGCAAATATAAACAGGATTCCATAATGTCAAAACTGATATATTAGAAAGTGCAAAATTCAAACTTCCTTTCATGAATTCTCAGGCGACACAGCAGGCCATGTAGCATAGCCTAAGACAGCTCTTTTGTAACTGATGTTGTAATAACTTTTTAATAGCACCTTAAGATACAAACTAAGCCATCAGTGGGAATCATACTGGGCCAAACAATCTTCTGTAATAACTTTAGTTTCTTCAGCTGTTAGTCAGAACCTAAAGACTTTACAAAACTGCTGGAATATAAAGAACAATTTTCATAAATTAATTAGAAAAATCTTTGTACAGCCCATCTTTGCCATTCAAGGTGTTATAAATTATGTGTTCTCTAGTTTTCTGCATAATGACATCATTGCTTCCTTGATTCATTTTTCAGTCTGGTTCCTGGACAAATAGAGATGTCAAAGCAATAGGAAAGTCAGTTTTCTCCACTCGAATTTGTTTTTTGTCTAACTCCATTTAACCAAGTAAGATATCAATGCAGAAACTAATCAAGTACTGAGAAAATATGCTTGCATGGTTGGCCACAACCCAAACAGGCAATATCATCATAAAGCCATTACCACATTAGTGAGAGAGTGGAATCATTACCAAACTATATGCACTTACAGAGTTATTGGATGATACATCTGTAATAGAAAATCCCTTCTGGTAAGCTTTGACTTGTTTGCTGCATGGGGATAAAGATCGTAATAGGAAAAAAGTCAGAAGCAACACAGCAATTAGCAAGTTTCATTTATGAAACCCCTTCCCCCTCAAGCTCCCTGCAGCTAACATAATGTTTTGTAAAGGGGGGCTAAAATTCAGATTCCGTTATAAAACCTGCCTTTGTAGGACACTAGAGACACAAGAATCTAGTGAAATCATTTTGTTTACTCAGATTTAAACCAAGAAATATGAACTAATGCAAAAGGACCAAATTGAAATGTCTGAAGTACAAGACTTAAGCACTGTACAAAATTCATACCATCATCCAACACACATACCATTTCTAACCCATCAGTTTTGGGATTGATTCAAGGAAATACTTAAAAACGTAAAGAAGATCATCCGTGTAATATTGTGAGATGTTCTTGAAAGACGGCTTTTGTTAATAAACAAACTAATAGGTATTTTCCTTCTACAAGTCCATTTTAATTGTCTATTTATGTCAGAATATTTACAGTGTGCCAGTTTACCACTTCATGGAATATTTCTATAATACTGATAGTTGGGTTTTCTTTTCTCTGTCAGTAAATGTAAGAGGAAAGTACTAAAGGCTGCACAGTAACATGACTATGAACGAACCCTTCATTTTTACTTCCGTGTTTTAGCTCTCAGCCTGGTCCACAGAAATTTTGCTGTTGATTCATAGTCTTTAAGTGGGATCGGTCAAACTGACTTTGCTAAAGGCAACAGCATATCCTGTTTTCTTGCATGCCATGCTCAAACTCCACAACTTCAGTGACACCTAAAATGCGCCACATAATTTTAAATGGTGTCCAAAATTGTTACAAACCAGCCAGTTCAGATACTGAACTTCCAAACTGGAGGATTTTTCTAGTTACTCTACCTGACAGGTGTTATGTGCTATGTTTTATATTTAGTAGTTTATGTTTAAGTCTATCTTTTGTGAAAAACATAGCTTGAAGGCTAACACTGCTGGTTGTGGATGGGAGTAAAGATTTGGCTTGGGTACATTAAATGGCAGCTGTCACCTCTTTTACCCAAATGTAACTATTTCACTAGGTCTTAACCACCTTTGGCAATGGCCAGGTTTAAGTTTAAGAGGGTCCGTTTGTTGCTTAAGTTCCATCAAAATCCTGGGAAAACAATATTGAACTTTCTCATGTTCAGTCTGCTGATTTTCGCCATTTGCAAACACAGGTCAAAGGGATCAATAAAGAGAAAAAGAAAACTCTTGAAAAAATAGATAAGCAGGGTAAAAGACAGAACCTACCATACAGTCACAGCACTAATGATTTCACAGTCATCTGCCGTAGGGGTAGTGCTTGGCCAGCAGCTTGCTTTCCCCTCCTAAGGTATCCTTCACTCAAAATTTAGGATTCTTATGTTTTGCAGGGCAGCAAGGCCTCATCAGCTTCAGCTTTCCCACACACTATTAAAAAATCCTTTCACAAAGACCTCTTTTCTACTTTCTAACCTTTGTATCCTGTGCTGAAAGTAAATGGCCTTAGATAAGGCTAAAGCTCCTCAGGCACAGTTAAGAAATCTTAGCTGGCCTTGGTTCATCTACAGTTCTACAGCTAGGAAATTTCCTCCTTTGTGCTAAAAAGCTCCCTTTCGAGCAGAAATGTTTCTCAAGTACAATGAAACAGCATACGCAAAACAAATATGCTTTAGGCCTATCTACTGGTCCTTTCCATTCCTCATCCCTTTGCTCTGCCGGTTGTCAGCCAGACTCTTTCTAGTCTGACTTTCTTTCCCCTAAGGAATTCTTGTGGTGGGAGAGAGTGCCAGAGATTTTCTTTCACTTTGGGCCTCAGCCACCAGCATTACCCAAAGTTAATGTATATTTAATATGATACAGCCAGTAACCCTTTCTGCCAACTTCTGATCATAAGCCAGCTGAAGAATGCTGAGAAGTTATGTCCTCTAACTAAACCTCAAAGCCCACGTATAAACTCCTGATTAGTGGTGGGTGAGATTACTAGGGATGTATGTATATACCCCTCTGTTTCTTTGCCAGCTGGAATTCCTCCATGCTGTAGGATATCTGCAGAAGCAGGCTCCAGAGAACCTTCTGTTTTTGCAGTACGGGCCTAAGGCAAAGATACCAGAGGGTTTTTCCTGGTAGCTTCATTCCTTGCCTCAAGCAGTCATGTTACACTTCTGTGCGTGATTAATTTGTTGGGCATGATTTACTGGGTAAATTATGGCATTTCAGTGATGGGTGTAAGGGGATCTTCGTGTGTATAGTTGTACATAAAACAATTTAATGGTTTAGGTTTCTTCAGGAATACGCTATCATTTCCATGGAAGTTTGCTTTTCTGTTTTGTTTTCTTCTTTCTCCATGGATCAGCAGAGACAAGGAATACTGACTGTAATGAAGTTTCCTCTCTTGGAAAGTCTTTTGTTTGTTTGTTTGTTTCTTGTTTCACCTTTTTGGTGTGTCTTTACTTAATTAAGGTTTATGTTCACCAGGTAGTATAAAGGTCAAAATGTTAAGGGATCCAGGGGGAAATGTTTGAGAAGGTCTTTCTGAGGGTGACAGCTCTGCCTTGTAATACAATACTATTTCTCATGGGAGTGGGTGGGAGGCCTGCCTAAATTTCCTCTTCCTGTCCTGCCAAATTCCCCAAATTGCATAACTGTGTATTCTCCTTACACAGTGGTACCCTTGGCATCCCTAGTAAATCTGCAGGGAAGCAGTGAAGCAGCTGGAGGCTTGAAGGTGGACCAAAATTGGTAGAGGATAGACTTGGTTAGCCAAAAAACAAAACAAACCCAAACCCACAAACTGAATTACTAACTCTCCCATGTATAACAGAACAACACAATACAGATTTAATAACATACACTATTTTGTTCTAAATGCACTCCATCTAGGAAAAATAAGTTTATCGGATAAGCAAAGGACCCATGGGGAGTTCATCAGTTCAGTTTCAAGTCACAAGATGTGTTTTATTTGGCTTTGGAGGCTTCTTGTGCAAGATTAATGTGAAACTGCTGAAATGCAAACTGACAAAAAGACATATTTTTACTGGTTGGTGCTTTTTCCTCTGTGCCATTATTTTCATCAGGAGGCCCCATAACTGCCTTCCCCATCACCCCTGCTTTAGACTGACAGGAGTATGAGGTACTTCTTGGCTTCTGTGAGGAAATGAAAGAATGACTATTAGAAAAGCAGCATGACCAGTGTACCTCATAAGGATGTAACACTGAAGGCTTTCACTTTATCACTACACTGAATCAGAAAAGAAGAATTTGGACCTTCTTAGAGGGGAGTGTCAAACATGGCTATCCTAGGGTAGGTCTTGCCTGAGTAAGGAGGGTAAGGTTTGCCTCCTTTGGAAAAACTTGTATGTTTCTTTAAAGTTCAGGTAGCCAAATTCATTACTTTTGAAGCTTTGCTAAGCTTCACTGGATCCTACCTTAGCCACGTACACTGCCTGACTGTCATTAAGACAATAAAAATGCAAGTACACCCGCAGAGGTTTTGACAATCCTGGTTTAACTGTCTGTGTACAGCACTTTAAATAGGCTCAGTACGGTCTCTGAGATTGTTCGAGAGAGATCGGGTACTACTCAGCGTGTGTAAGGGTGGGAGAATCTGGCTCCAAATGGTTTCTTTTTCTCTCCTTGCTACAGGAACTGGAAAAGACAAGGGTGTGTGGGCGGGCCTGGAGTCCCTCCAAGGAAAGTGTGAGGCCTTGGGCAAAACAAATCCATCAGGTCTCTCATTTCTTCCAAATATAGGTCTGTTCTGAGCAATAGCCAAGCTCAAGTCTAAACTCCACATCCAACTGTTTCAGAGGGAATACATGAAAAAGACCCTATGGCCTACAGAGTCCGTCTACAGAAAATATTTTGATAGCTCTTCCTCTCTGGCATTATCTTTCACTTAAAAAGAAAGAAAAAGAAAACACACAAAACTGGAGCACATGGTTCAATTTTCACTGTAAAACAACTGATTGATGAAAATGATACTTCTGAAAACAATCTGTTGCGAACTATCAAGCATTTTTGCCTACGCACCAATTGGCAGGAATAAGACAGATAAATTATTACAATATGTAACAAAACAAATTGCTCTGAAGAGAAACGGTATTTCTCTGTGCATGTATTAGCAGGATGAGTAGAATTAAATCCATGAAAGTATGCTGAGAGATCATTCTCCATCACAGCAGAAAAATACTGGAAGCAAAGGAACTCACTTCAGCTCTGTCACTGTCTCTACCAAAACAGAGTTTATGATATGCAAGTGTTCTCTTGGAGTAGAGCAGAAGAATCCTGGACTTAAAAACAAAGAACAAACTTGGGATGTTTCTGTTGTTGAGTGGAAGAAGTTTCAGAGCCATTTTTGCCAAGATACTTCCAAATATTTCAGGCATCACCACGTATTAATAAAATGGAGCAATTGCAGCAGCTTCCTAAACCTTGAATACTCTATTACTGCCCATGGGATAATTTTCTGATGTGCTTATAGACATGAAGATTTAAAAGACAAAATCCCATTAACTTTCAATAATACTTTCTTTAGAGCCTGGCACATGGACCAATTACAGAGATAAGCGCTCTATGCAGTAACAGCGTCTGAATTGTTCTGTTGTGACTTTCTGTGTGCATGCTCCTATCCCACAGCAACCAGTTAAGGCAAAGATGATGACTCATTTTCCATCAAGAGCCAAAGCACATCACAGTTACCTCAAACTTCATACCCTGTACACTGGCAGTTAGTGGATAGCCGTGGATGAGCCTACTGTCCAATCTACTTTTGAAAAAAATAAGTAGAGCTTCTAAATTACACAAGGTACCTTGACACTTGTGGATCATGATCACCCACCCTGAGCCATGAGATCCATGTTGCCCTTGTAACCTGCACCAACTCTGCACTGTTGTTAACAGGAGAAGGAATCCTAGGCATAAGCATTGTTGTCTTTTCCTGAACTAGTCTCTACTTGTGGATAAGAGAGGAAAAAAGGGGACACAAAGAGCATGGGAGTCTGAAAAATGTAATTATGAGCTCTATTCTGGGAAACATATCCTGTAGAGTATAGATAAATTTCAGACACATCTCAGAGAGGGACTGGAGAGGGAGCAAGATGAGTTGGAGTATGTATCTGATATTGTTTCTACAGCAAAGCTATATGGCTGCTAGTGGTTGATCTTAAGTTTTGCACCAGGTGTTCCCTATATTTGGCCTTTTGGCTGTTACTACAATCATCATGACATCAACAAGAAACACAAAGCATAGCTTGCTTTTGAAGTTCTTCAGGGGTATCTGAAGATGAAATACTAATGGGACTTATTTTTTAAAGGCTTCTTCAAAAATCATTCCTTACACTTAGATTTCCTTTCCAGGATCCAAAATTCCTTTTTAAATTAAGCATCCTTGTATGTGACAGAACCAGAGTATCATGAGCCTATTATTTTCTGCCTTTTTTTTTTTTTTTAGCCAAGGGACAAACATTCAGAGAAGTCAAATATGACAGGAAATTATTTTGACATATTTGAAGGCTACTGAATGAAATGAGTGTCTAAAAAATAAATAGTGAGCAGAAGTAAAGGGTTCCTTTTACAAGCTTTTGCATTTGCACATTGTAAGGGAACCATTCATAGTTTGTGAGCACAATAGCTGATAGTAATTGCTAACAGAAATGAGCTAACTGCAAGGACTGCTAACAGTAGGCAGCTAGCCAACCTAAAAAGACTATGATCATGTCATTTAAGCAGCAAGTAAAGGACTGTGTAGCAGAAGAGTTACTGTGCTATTCTGTGACAGATAACTTGAAAAGGTGGCAGGTGAATTAAAAAAACACCTGTAAGAGTCCAATAATAACAGATAAATACACTCCAAACAGCTGTAGCTCATATCACCTACCAAAAATTGGAGTAATTTGGTCTTGCTTGTCATTGAAATATACTCAGTAGGAACTTATTACTGTGGCTAAGTCAGCAGCCTAAATTACAGTGAAAAGATTAGCTTAACGGAGCCGTTTTGTGGCTTAAAAACTTTCATATGCAACTACAACTTCATCACTAAATCTTCAAGTGCTGGAACCATCTACGAGTATCTCAGAGCCAGGTGAGTTGTACTGCTGTAGTTTTAAGAGATGTTTTCAAGGGCCAAGCAGAGGTTTTTCAATTCCTCTTTCATCTGACAGAGTGCCTTCTTGACTTTCTGAGGTGTGTTCATAACCTCTACACTGCTGGTGAATGGGTTGTAGTGCAGAGAGAAAGGCTTCTTGATCTTCATTGTGTAGTTTCTGTGGAGGGAAGAAGACAGAGCTGCTAATTCAGAGTTCGTTTCCCAAAGCGTAAAACCTGCAGGACCTGGTTTCTTAGTATGTAGGCATGGACTTGTTGGAGAGCAGAGGCTGCTGTGACACCTCCTCACTGTTACTCGTTAACGTTGTCTGGTGCAGCACACTCTCCCCACGGCTGAGCTACTTGCAGCCCAAAAGATCTGCAGTGCCTGCTTTTCAGTGTGGCTGGCTCAGACCCGCCTGCGCTCTTACAGCTCTATGCTAGCACAATTCAGAGTTATTACAACCACAAGCTGAGGAATGCAGGAACACAGCATGTCTGCTGCCTTCACTTCCAAGAAATAACCTGGAGTAGCTCTCCGTAAAATTCTAAAAACCTGTTGATAGTAGGTATCTTGGACTATTTTTTTGTCTCTATTTAAAAAAAAATAAATCATGATTTCTTGCCATCTTTGACAATGTTTCCATTAAGTACATGCTGGTAGGAGCCCCCTGTACTGATGTTGCTTTATGGTTTTAATTCTGACAAGGTTTTTGTGCCTTTGGTTATTTTGAGCTGCTTTGGCTGCACAGCTATCTTGAAAAACATGTATGAAAAAGCTTCAAGTCTGAGAATGGTGTATTCCCTATCCTTGCAAGTTCTTTTCAGGTTTGCCTGAGTCAAATACTCTTTAAAGTCTTCTCATTTCTCCCAGTGAGTTCTCAGACACGTTTTTACACACATTAACAACTGACTGTGAACCTTCACATTTAGAATGAGGTGCCTAAATTGCTATTGTTATAACCCCAGCAGACAGTGCTTCTAGGGAAGAGGCAGGGGGAGTAGGGAAGTCTGGCCCACGTTCTCTTCCTCTAATAGATTCTTCATTTCAGCTCCTGCATGCTTTCTCCCCAGTAGTTCCACAACCAGCCTCCTGCCTCCAGCCAGAATTGGTTATGTTGTTCTAACTGTTGGAGATGAAGGCCAGGATTTGAACCCTGCTTACTTTAAAAAGAATAAATCTTTACTGCATAACACAGTCAAAGAAATGCATTTAGAAACACCTCTAGCTAATTTGAAATAATTTTATTCAAGTTGCAGTCAGCTACTTTGTAGAAATTAGATTGCCTGTGAATGCTGACTCTGCATTCTTGTGCAGATATAATCAGAGGAAAAAGGCAATCTTGTTTTTAAGACCCCTGCTGATCCATGTTAATTCCTAAGTCTGCTATAAAATTTATGCATGGCCTTGGGTAAATCAGTTTTTCATGACCTCTTATTTGTATGAACTAGCACATTGGCACCCCAACTGTTGGGCTGCTCTCTATTCTTACTGTTCAGTTTCAGATTTTACTTCAGAAGTTGCTAAAATGAGGTACTGCTAAGATGAAGCATGGGACAGGGAGTAACAATATATAGTTATGGTTTTCTGTGAAGCTTTTCTGAGATAAACAACCTCATGTTTACCTTTGCTGTGAAAAAGCCACTGTGCCAATGAAGGGCACAGTGAGATAGCCTGCCATGGTTAATGCAGTTGAGGTGGATGTATTTGAGATTAGGATTCAAGACAGTGTGCCCCCCTCAATGAAAACACCTACAAACACTTTACTTACTGAAGCTTGGCCTTGGCATCTTCCAGACTTTCTGCTATGAAATAGACAGGTTGAAAGGCTTGATCCTGATAGGGGTGAACTGCAGTCACTTCTGGATCAAAAGGCTTGTACTCTGGCTTGTTGGATAAAGCATACTTCGCAATGGGGACAACATAGGTTAGAGCAGGTGAGTGAATGTAGCAAGAATTAGTGCCCACATAGCCATGAAATGCTCTTTGCGAAATAGTTGAAGGTAATATCAGGTCCTGTTCTGTTACAGGTGAAAGCTGCTTTTCATAATTAGTAGCTAATAAACCAAATAGTACATAATTTTTAAAAGAAAAAGAAGAAAGAGAAAACCAAGAGACGTATTTCCTGCATTAAAGTGATGTATGATTTGGTACCAAGGCCACATTCTCAGACAGGGAGGGGAAAGTCTATGCCAGCCCTGAAAACTGAATATCTAGAAAAAAAAATAGCTTCGTGCTACTTTCTTTTCCAGCTAGTATCATAGAAGATTCACAGACCTGTGCAGCACTATTTCAAAGTCCCCAGCCACAAATTTCACATTTCCTGCTGCAAGGAAGAACAGACAGAATGCTCCTTGTATTTTTTGCACAGCTCCATGCCAGTTAAGCCACCTAAAATCTTCCCTGAAATCCAATATATAAATATGCACTATACTCTGTGGATGCATGCTTGTGTTTGGGGCCCACAGAGGTTCTTCTATTTTTTCTTCTCAGGTCCTTCTACATTGTCCCCTTAGGCAGACAGGAGGATTATGGAAGCCTCTCATGTCCACACTGCAGTCCATAGGCACAACTATTATTTGTTTACACATACTGGAGATACCTTCAAACCAACCAGCACCAGAGCAGGGAACAGCATGGTTGCTCAGGTATTGGCATTGGCTATCTAGTACATGCACAAAGTCCTGGGAAAACAGCACAATTCAGGCTTAAAGTGAGCTCCTGCATGGTTTTTCTGCCCCTGAATCCTGAGTGAGATATTTTAAAGCCAGATTAGCTCCAGCGAGAACAGAACTGCACTGGTAGATGTGCTAAAACCTGGTTTGGTCTCCAGTTGTCCAAGCTGGGAGTGCCATGGCCACTTTGATGAAGTGTCCTTTGTACAAGGAAGGATACTTTGTACAAAAAAGGAAAACGCAACTCATTCCAGTCAATACTGAGACATTTCTTTCCACCTTCAGCCTGGGCAGTGGGCCCCATCCACCTAGGGACAGCCTTTTAATACCCACCTATTCTTTGAGATCTGCCTGTTTGTGTTTCTGTCTTCTTCCCCAACCTTCAGAAGCCACCCTTCATTGTTTGATGATCCAAATACCAATTCCCATGGTACCTGTATATAACTAGTAGATGTGCATGACACTTCACAAGACTTTCAGCTCAATCTGCTAACTGGAAAAATGCAGACAGTACCTTAAGCACAGTTTTGGATATTACACTGAGCTGAACTTGAACTCTCCATCACTGGAGGCCTGCCTTAGCTGGTAGGCCAATTTGCTGCAGAAGCGGTGCAGAAATTAATACAGGGCTTAAAAAATAAAAATAATTATATATAAAATGCTAAAAGATCGTGTTTTTCCTGTTCTCCATTTGCAGTGTGTAATTGAAGAATAAATCTTGGAGAGCACTCTTACAATCTAAGATGGATGGTATACACAAACATGAGGCTGCTCTTATAATCTTAGAAGCTCTGGGGACTAATGGGAAAAGATTTCAGAAACTCAGAACCTGACAGGGGTCCCACTATGCTGTCAGTGTTGAAGCAGAACTGAAATCCCATTGATTTCAGTGGAAGTTCAGCTTAAAACCGGATGGCCTTAAAGGCCTCTACAAGTTAAGTACTTCTTGTGCTGCAAGAAAAGCATATGTAGCACTGAGTGCTGCCAGAAGTGTGGTATGAGCCATAAGATTTTACAGTATGTAGGACACAGACCAGCTGAGTGTTAACAGGAGAAGCATTTTGGATAATGTAGAACAGCTGACAGAATATAGTGAAATAAACAGTGCAATACTGAGAGCTGTTGGAGAGGAATTCTTACAGTTCAGAGGAGGCAAGGTTGGCCAGCAGTCAGACCCATTACAACTACTCAGTTTAGACTTGGTATGGCTATCCTGTCCCTTCTAATACCTAGCTGCTGTCACTAAATTATTTGTTAAATAATACATATTCAAGTGCAAATCACATGCAGAGGATGTCTAGCTCTACTTCTTATCCTCTGCCCTTCTCCCATGTTATGACCCCAGTTTGAGCAGAACCAGCCCACAGAAAAAAACTACCTGAAGCTGAGTTCAAACTGGTCAGAGTGGGTGCTGCGGAGAAGAGGAAAGCGTTTTGAAGATTTCATAGTCAGGATGTGGTTCCCTGGGTTACAGTCACACACCCACAGACAGTCGGTCCAGTCTGCAGTTCAGAGATGTTCCCAGGTTCCTTGCTGATGATGAGTTCTCAGACAACATTAGCTGGACATGCTGCTGCTCACCCTCTCCAGCTGGTTAGATGTTGTCTTCTTGTAGCCAGCCACCTAGCCTTATTAACTCCTGCCTTTATTGCCTCCTCAGTGTTCATCATCCTGCTGTTCCTGGCTCTATAACCTTCAGGAATGAGGAAACTGCTTTGCGCAGGTTGCTACAGCATGTCTCCTTCTATCACATGAGCTGCAGTTAGTCTGCCTGTGCCTGATATGCTGATCAGCTAAATCATATGGAACCAAGTTTGGGGCCTCCATGCAGAAGCCCTCATCTGGACCCATACTGAGAAAACAGATGGATAATTACAAGGATGGACAATGGCTTTCTCCCATGCAGTAGCAAAACTTATCTAGAGCTTTCCCAAGAACCAGGCTAAGACTGCAAAATGAGCTTTGTAAGAAACTGAAAGCTATCATGAGCCTCACTATCTTCTAAATTTCATCTTCTCTAACAAAGCTGCCTAGACACTGCTGTACCTCTAAAAATATCCCTTCTATAAAATAAGCATTGCACTACACATATTTCCTCTCTTCAGCTGAGAAAGAAACAGTTGGTATACATTTTCAAGTTGCTATCAGGTGCTTAGGCATGGGACCTCAGTACTTTACTCATACTGCCACTCTCCATACTGAAGTTAGAATCAGATGCTTATGCAGTCTAGAATGATTAAATGTAAACATTTTTTTATTTTGGTTTTGTTCCAAATAAAAACCTGTGAGATAAGTCACCTGTAAAAGGAAACTTCAGCACTTAAGGCAGTGGATATAATTAATCTGTGTACAAGAAGTTTGAGATGTTCAAGGTGAAGTGCACAGAATCCACTAAGCTGCTGTCTCAAAAACTATGTGGTGATGTACTTGCAGAGGTCACACAGGGATTGTACACGGCATACAGCCACATTGTTGGTGAATTGCTTGCCCATCTTCAGACTGTCTTAGGTGTTACATGCGAGATGGACACACTTTTGGAAGCGGGGTAATCTTTCTTCATCACCTATTAAATATAAATGTTATCACATCTGCATGTAATTTCAGTAATGTGACGAATGAAGATTTAGGTGGACCCAGCTGTATCAAAAGTTTATCCAGCAGCATTACCCAACAACTACTGATGATAAAAGAATCCACCACTTACCAACTCAAGGACACTCCCACTGTCAACCTTAGTGGCAGGGAATTAGAGGTGCAGTTATACTTTTTTGTTATATAGCACAGTTTTGTGAACAAGCAGCTCTTGCCTACCACTTTAATCAAAAGCAGGACAGCTAGTCAGTGTCTGGTGAACAAAAGGGTAGAAAGAGAGGACAGTAAATTTGATATACTCAATTTCAGCCACCAAATTGAACATTTCTGATGTGACTTTTACCTTCATCTGTGTCAGAATTAAACAGAAAAAAGGAGGTAACATCACGCAGACAGATTCTGTGGTGCATATTACTAAGAAAGCTACGTAAGTATTGGAGTCATTATTTTAGTATCATGTTTAACATGTAAATGAATTTAAAATTATAAGGTATTCAGGCAGGCAGAGTAGAATAAATGTTGCCTTGAACTGTGCTTTGTTATTGGACCTTTTTAGTTTTATCAGGTGGACAAAAGCAAGCTCTGCAAATCATATGCCAGAATTTAAGCACAAAGTCTCCAAATTGCAAGTGTTGGGAGAAAACCAATGCTAAACTCAGCAGGAAGGCTGACATGTGGGAGGGTTCCCCTTTCTATATATTAACTCTCAACTGCCCCTCTGTAGGGACACCTATTATAAATGTCTCGAGATATGTTAACATGCAGTTTCTTCCTTCTGTCCATTGACTGGAAAGCTAGCTGACCTGTATACCATTAGGAGAGTTTTGTAATATGTTTATTGTCATAACAATCCAACCATCTCCAGTTATGGGAGTCCAAGCTGTGCTAATCCTGCAATGGTTTCATATGAATGTATCATGTAGCTAGCTGTTAGGCTGCTGTGTCTATGTGTTAAGCTTAAAATATATCACCCATGAAAACAAATGGTTTCTGGTCTATAAAAATGCTTGAAAAGAATGCTTTTTCATTTTCCTTTGGCTCTCACTAATTCCAAAAAAATCATCTATTATCTCCACAACCCAAAGCAATTGAGACCTAGTGATACCAGTTTAGGGCTTTTAGCTTCAGGGCTCTGTGAAACTGAGGACAAATTCCTGCCTCCCCTGTAAGCTGTTTTTCTGAAGGAGAGGAAACCTTTTTGTAAAGGTGTACAGCCCCTCCTTCTACAGTTAATCTGTCCAGGCAGGACACTGTCAAATCTGTGTATGCAGATTTTAATCTCCATAAATTTAGTTTTGAAATGTATTTATGAATGTGAAATACTAAAGCATTTTCTTTTTTTTTCAGTGTCTGTGATATTTACAATTTCTTTGCACTTTATTCTGTCGATGACTTTCTGATTCATATATGCATAAATGGCAATGGCATGGATGAAGTAGCGGAGCTCATTATAGGCATAATATTGCCCTCTAGTGTGTAACTCAGAAAGGTACATGAGTTTGATGTTAACTGTATTAACTGGCCAGGAACACTATGAAGAAAATCTAACGTTTTACAGGCTGTTTGCTTTCACTGCATTTCATCTCTTTAGGTGAAAGACAGGTACAATCCTACAGTAGTTCTTCCCCTACTCAGTAGCTTCTGGGAAGGAAGAATTAATTTCTTTGAAAAATACGTATTTTACATCATATTGGTTTGTGTGAAGAAACAATATTTTGCTTTTACCAGAGATTTCAGCAAACAACATTATGGAAATCTTTCAATCCCATGCATTTGATACATACCATAAGTTCCCCATAGGACGAAAGCAGTCCTGCCCCGTAAGCTTTGATCGATCCGTTTTGCTTGCAGAGACCAAACTCCACAGTGAACCAATAAACCTGGTAATAAGAACAACTTGTGAAAAACAGTCTCAACAGGTAGTTCATTTTTCCTTTCATTTTCTTTCATCCTTATATTTTAATGTCTTTTTATCTTTAAATTTTACACTTGTATATTTTAAGAAAATTATTTTTTCTCTCAACGCATGTAACAAACACATATTTTTTTCAGAACTTGCCATCCTTCCTATTCTCACTCCCCCCCCCAAAAAAAATGAAAAAAAAACCCAACGAAACAAACCAGTAGTGATAATTATATGTGTACATAACAACATAAAGCCCTACTCCCTTCTTTCTTTGGAAGATGTTACAAATTACCCTGCAACCTCTTAGACCTGAGTTTCATCACAGTCAGTGGAAGCTGACAGATTTCAACCCATAGTTCCCAGAAGGACAGGCAGACCCCTATTGCAGGTTCAAGACCTTAGGAAAGGTACTTGAAAGGGCAGCTTCCTTTCTCCTTTGTCTGTGTGATAGCATTCAGAAAAATTGAAGAATGACTTCTCCTTTAGCAGCAACGTGCCCCTTAAGTTTATACCAGTTATACCTTTATAATGTTGAAAATAAAGATACGTGCCACTGGGATTCTCTTGCAATAAAGTATGCTTAGGACCATACTTCCTTTACCTGCTGGACAGTAGTGGGATAAAAGCAGCTCTTGGCTCTGCCAACCTGTTAGCCCTTCCCTTATTATAGCATCTAAGGAAATGGGCAGTAAAGGACCAATTCTGGTCAAAGCCTGACCCCTGAGCAGCTGGATAAATGTTGTGCAAAAGAAAAACATGGAAAACATGAGGCATTTCAAGAATATGGCTCTGTGTCACAACTCTTCAAGGCTCCTTTAGGGACACATAGGTCTTTGCTGCCTTGTACACAGGGCTTGACTTTGGCTTCAGTTTAGACGTAAGTATTGCATTCTCAACACCCTTCTCAAAGAACTACAGGCAGGTTGTAAAATAATTTGAAACTCTATGCCATTCTGTTTATTCTGCTGTTTACTTTCTTCTATTTCTTTCTCCCACTCTCTTTCGTATCTTTTAATTTTGATGACTTTGTTTTAGCCTGCAAATTTACTTCTAGAGAAACAGCATGCCGGGATCTTTCTTTCTGCAGAAACCTAAGATGCTTTCTCTACAGTACAGCTAATAATTCTTCATTCTAATTGTGTTAATAATCTTAATTCTTATTATTTCAGAGTGAAAAGTCTTTCAAGTATCTCCTCATTTAGCAGAAGGTCTTTTTGTCTGGAGAATGAGACACGAAAGGAGGAGGAAAAATTATTTTAAACGTTATCTTAGATGTCCTGAATTTGGCTTTTAATTAGTGAGGTTCTTTCAACTCTCACTGTTTTAACAGGATACAAGATGCAGTACTACTGGCATTCTGGAGACAACATAAACACTGGCAATTTTCCATCTCTTGTGCACCATGAGTGGAGCTGGGGGATGTGAGGAATTTCAGGAATGACAGTCTCCTCCCATCTACCCCCTTTCCTGAATGAGCCTCATCCAGCTGCAGGAAGGTAAGGCTTCTTTCCTCCCTTGAAAAAATCATCAAGACTTGGAAATAGCTGCCATTATAGGAAAAACAAATTATGTGGCCTCCAGCCCACTTTCAGAACAAATCACGATAGCAGCAAGGGACTGCATGACTTGTTTTGGCAGATGTATACAGCCTAGTGACTCAGAACTGAATGACAGTACCTGCTCTCAACTTGCTTTTAAGTGCTCACCTATTTTGTGAGATTAATGACTATAGAGTGAAACAAATTCTGACAGTTCTCCGCACCTTATGTAGGAGAAAATGCAGAAATCAGATAGGGTATCCAGTCTACTAGGTGAATCTGGAAAGTGAGTTGGTTGATATTGTAGTAACTCAGCTTCGGCAGTATATTCTTACAGAAGCAAAAAGTATAAGCATTCCCTCAGGTGGAATCACATGCTTCTGGGGTCTGCCACAGGGGCTCCAGCCCCTGCTCCAGTACCTCCCTACTGTGCATGAGGAGAGACAATAATCCTGATTCTCCTATTTTCGTAGCTAATCTGAGATACTGCAGAAGAGCCTTCCCTGCACAGTAAGGGATAAGCAGTGAATCGTTTGAGTTTTGCCTCTGATATTAAACTGCCATCTGTACTTACTGTGGCCAGTTTCTCAATCTCCGCTTCAGATGATCCAAGAGAAGCCAGTCCAATATCCTAAAGCAAGTAAGCAAGCAGGCAGTGTTACACTAGTGTGATTATTCAGCCCAAGGGAGAGAAAGAGGGGAAGGGGGAGGACCACATCATTTCTAGCATGAATAGCATGAACTATTCATTGTTTTTGTCACCCAAAATGACCTTCCATGGCTTCCAGGATGCCTACCTCTCCCTGGCCCCCAGCTACATACCACTGGGAGCAACATTAGATGAGTGTTTAATCCTCAGTGTTCTCTGTGTAAAGTTAACTATCTCTTGTCTTAATGCTGGACTATTCGTGGTAGAGATTTATGGGAAGGCATAAGAAGGAAGGACAGCAAGGTGGGTTTTATCATGGCCATTGCCTTTCTGTGTTTCACTCTCTTTCTGACAGCCCTTATGACTGGGTCAGATCCATTCAGGGAGGATTCAGTTTACTCCAGTCTGTGCTCCCTGTTGTTATTCTCACAATAAGAATCTGTAGATGTCTCATCTTAAACTATCCCGGGAGCCATATCATGCAGAAAACAATCAAAATTAGGGCATTTTCACCATTCATCATCTCATATTGAATGGAACAAAAAAGAATATTCATGGGGTGAATTTCAGCTGTGAAAATACTCCGTGGGAAAAAAAAAAAGTGAAATGTGAAATTCATTTAATGTGATCCCATGCTGTATAATCTGTGTTATAGATGAAAAAAGAGGAAAGCTGAAAGTTCTGAAATTGCTATAATCTCTTATTTCTAATGTATCTTCAGTCTTGGTACTGAACTGAAGATGTTTCTTCCAGAATAAATTATAGATCACTAGGATATTTTAAGTAGTATTCATCTGAATCTGATAACAAACAATATATAGGTCTAAAATGGAAACTGGCATATATCCTAGTCGATACAATTGGAAACCACATTGTATGAGGTAAACTGGCTTTTTTTAAAAGATATTCTGGCAAGGACCTATATTGTGTGACCTTTGTGCTCTTATTGCCAGTTTCCACACTGGCCACTGATTGATAAGCCTAGAATGTGAGTTATCTTCCTCCCTCAGCTATGGTTTTGAGGGACATTCATAGTTCTGAAGTCTTTCATTACACAAGGTCAGTGAGTTCACTTGGGTCTGATGCTCACTGCTCACACTAAATAGCCCCTTTGTATACAAAGAAGCCCTGTTTCCTTTTTGGAGCCTCCTGATCAGTATGAGCAATGCTGTGAGAATCTGGTGAGTTGTAAAAGGAAAAACAACTCTAATGAATGACACGGTGATGGACACAATTAAAGTATCATGTGAGATAAAAATGTACAACCAGAGACAGAACTAGCCTGGGGGCTCGATGGCTGTTGTTGGTTAGGTTCATGTGGTTGTAGGACAGGAAACCAGAGGAACAGCATAGTCAGCACAGCTCAAACATGCATCACCACAGAGGCTCCACTAGCATCCTTCTGCAAATTGGCATGGCCCTCCCACAGAGAAGTCCCACATGCACTGCCTATCCTTCCTTTTACACGATATCCACAGGGAGCAGTGCTACCACTCCCTTGGAGTAAATGTCTCTCAGAATGCTGCTAGCCCACCACCTGAGGCTGCAACTCAAGTCTAAATTAGTGTTTCAAGCATGGTGAGCTGCATGCCTCTGAGGCACAACTGGACTGCTAGCCAGAGCAGTTGGTTAAACAGCCAGCATAACAAGCTTCTTACCTGTGAGAACTGGGCAAACTCTTCATCAGCTAACATGGGAACATGACCCAGTAACTCATGGCAGCAGTCTCTGGAAAACAAGTGACCTTTATATTTAATAAAGGTATCTTTTCCTATCCTACATGAACTTCCTGTGAAGGACTTCAGCCAGTAGATCCACAGAGGGAACAAATGTGGGAGATGCTCCACAGTAGCTGCCTCCATACCTGGTTTGTCTCTGGAGGGAACATGTCAGAGCATTCCCTTTCACCATGGGGATCTAGCTACTCCCCACTGCCTTGGCTATTGTCTCACTTGGGATGGCATGGGCACCAGTCTCCTATGTCACAACATCTTTGAAAGGCTCCTGTTTTGTCCCAGCATACAACAAAAGTCTGTGTGAACTTGTAATTTCTCATGAAATGTAATTGCTGTTGTCTGGCCAGCACTTACTGGGAGAGTTTCACAGCAGGCAATCAAACCCCAGCAGATGGTAACTGAAGGCAGGATGAAAAGATTAAACCAGATATTCTTCAGTCTCTTCCTTCCCCAGACAGCTTTGCAAGAGAGACAGAGATCCACACCCTCTCATGCATGACTTCCCCTTCGAACTCTCCAGCTACCAGTTTCTCAAATTGTTTCATTTTGTGGACTACTGGACAGACCTCCAGAGTGATTCCCCAGAGAATCATCCCCAACACATTCAGAAGAATGAAACTGTGCCAGGGCACCAAACTTACGGTTCTGGGGAATGCATAGGAGAAGAGAAATGCCTTATATACTGTGTGCTCTGGAAGACACGAAATGCCAGGCTGGCAAGGAAGTCACGAGCAGACAGCAGCCCTGCAGCTGGTCTCAGCTGGAAACCTGTTCTCTCTGCAAAGGGAAGTAAGTCTGAATTTAGGCATTTCTAGGCTTAACTACATGGCACACATACTTCAGGTAATCAGTTTCAGAGGACTCTTGTGCTCTGTTGCAGTAGCTCTCTCTTCCAAAGCACAGTAGGAACATCCTGGCTTATCATTATCAACATGCTCCTATGCTGCTATGGGTCCATTTACTGCAACATCAAATCACCTAGCCATCCATCCTACGCTTATCCATACTGCCTACTCCAGTTTACATTTTTAGCACATTTATACACTTTTATCTACTATGTCACACATATCAGTGGTATGTCTGAGGTCACATATGATCCTTACGATCAAACATGGAACAGAACCAGTATTTTCAGTCTTGACTAGTCTATTCATTCTTGGATTCTCTCTCTCATTTCCTATACAACATTTGTAAAACTAAAACAGGAGCTGGATAAGAGCTGCATCCCACCCCTACCCTTATCTGAGAGCACCTGGCTCTTCCCCAGTACTAGGTTATTCTTTAGCCCCATCCTGCAGACTTTCTTATTCCTTACACTGAAAGCCCTAGTACCTTGCACTGTTGAAGACGGAAGGTGGACCATGGGTCTGGGTCTGCTCCAGTCTGTGCAGTTCTTCTGCTCCTTAATGGGCTTAGTTCAACATATCTCAGTGGCAGATTTAGAGCATACTATTCAACTTCATTTCCCTTTATGAATGCATGCTCCATATGTATAAACTAGCTCAGCACTGGCAAAAACTTCTTACCTATTTTATCTTTCTGTACTTCATTAGAATGGGAACACACAGAAGAAAGAGCAAACAGGTCCTTGTCAGAGATAAGGGTGCTGGAATTTGGCCTTAACCATTTAGTATCAGCTTCCATCAGTGTTTTCACCTATTTTTCTCCTCTGGGTTTTTTGTTGGTTTTTTTCCCATTATGTTTGTCTAGAACTAACTGCACAGTCTCCCTGTCATGCGATACTACTTGTTTTGCTTTGCATGTGTCCATAGAACAGGACCAAAGGATGCAAAAATTTGGAACGATAATTTCAGCTATCAGTGTTACTCCAGGACACCCTGCTTTGAGAGGTCTTTTAGAGATGACTAACAAAATAACCAGCCCTATGGTCAGCAGAATACACAATCTGCATTTCCATGGGAAACACATTGGTGGTCTGCAAAGCTAAGAAAATTGAAAATCACTGCTTTAAAAGAGAGCCAATGATAGCCTTTTTGAAGGCCTATATTCAAAATCTGTGTTGCATTCTCAGTTCCCATAAATGACATTTCATCGTCTTTAAAGTATAAAACAACATTGAAAAAAAAATCAGAAATGGCTTTATTCTCCCTTCTCTGTCCATATTCTATTGTGTTATGAATCCTGGAACCTAATTTATTTTATGTAAACAAACAAAAAAATCCCACCCAGAAACCAAGCCATTTACAAGTTTTTGGGTTGGTTTGGTTTTTAATGTTTCTTCCAGCATTTCTTGTCTTGCTCTGTCTGGCAATTAGCACTTCTCTCATTTATATAAAAAAAAAAAGAGAGAGAGAAGAAAAAGGAAGGGGGGGGAAGGGAAGACTTCACTGGAAGAATTAGAAGAGACAAAACATCTGAAGTGATACAGGGCTTTAGTGGACAGCAAGGAATGCTTCTACTTGACAATGTGAGGTAGAGGTGGTGAGCATTTGTCATGGTTATCTTCTATTGCCGCATCAAATTCAACGGTAATGCATACAGAACTACCTCAAAGCTGAACCTCAACAAAACCCATGGAGATTAAGTCTTCATCTTTTTTATATGCTGAGCAAAGGTATCAGAGTTAAACAGGGAATCAGAAGAGATTATAATGCAGCTTATTATTCTCCCCCATCCCCAATTAATAAAGCAGAGTGTTTGAGGGAACAGACAGTCTAACAAATATGCCTCCTTTGGCACTGATCAGAACCTGGCACAAGAAGGGTACTCCCTTGCTGCTGATGCCATACTAAACCAATCCAGAGGAATGTGAAAATCTCAGAATCCAGTCATCTTTGCGTTAAATTCTGAGTCTGAGTAAAGTGAAAACTGCAACAGCTGAAAAACATATCAGACGAGAACTAAGCCCTATGTAACTCAGTTTTGGAAGGACTATGAAAGAGTCTAGGAAAATTTATATTGCTTTAGCATCCATGTTGGAGGAGCAGGAGGGAAAATGAAAATTACAGCCTATGTTCCCTGAGGTGCCCTTTTAAATATAGGCCAGTGAATCAGACAGTCTGCTGATGGAACAGACTTGGCCAGTTGCCTTGAAAAGCCATAGGAAAAAGTTATCTGCTGGAGGTAATATCTGCAAAATCCGAACTTCTATTTCATTACTGCACAATAAAACCAGCAATCAACAGAGAATTGGGGGTGTGGCTGATTGGACTTGCTGCCTAAAGACCTACGAAATAAAAATGAGTTGAAGAAAAGGTCTTGAGCAGTTGACCTAAAGTGATCTATAAGGCTTAATTCTTGGCCTTAAAAACTCATGTGTATAGTCCTGTGCATTGTATTGTCAGCTTACTTGAATTCACTGGCTGTAATTTCTTCCAGCTGCAGTGGACAATGAATGCCTAAATCCTAACATCTTTCCTAGAAAGAAAGATGTGCTTAGGTTCATCTAGTTAACTCTTCAGAAAAACACTTGACAGGTTGAACAGTTACATGGTTAACCATTTAAACCCCCTTTAAGTAATTATGAAGTACTTATGATGCAAAGTTCATTTCTGTTCAGACCAGCCTCAGTAGCAGGTCACATAACAGTAGACAGATCTTACAGTTCAACTTTCATTGAAGTCAAAAGGAATAACTTGTTTCAGTTCACAGATACTGCTGAGCAAAAGAGAAGATGGATGTTTATCTGGCTGTGAGGGCTGGTTATAACATGATCTCTCATACAGATCATGTTATAACATGATCTGTTATAACAGAATATCCCCTCCTCTCTCTTTCTGCATCTCTACAGCTTATTAAATTCAAAGCTGTGCTAGGGGTAGGTTTTTCAAAGCTGCTCCACGGGATGTTCACACTGGGCATACATTAGAAAGCATTTGTCAACCAAGAAGGTGGTCAAACATCGTAATGTGCATTCTAGAGAGGTGGTTGATGCCCCAAGCCTGTCAGTGTTTAAAGAGGCATGTGGAACATTAACTTTTGGTCACCCCTGAATTGATCAAGCAGTTGGACTAGATGATCATTGCAAGTCTATTCCAATTGAATTATTCTATTCTGTTCTGTTCTATTACATTCTATATAAAGTGTTAGCATCACATATGCTAAATATTCCAGTTCTTAGAGGTAGTATTTAGCAAAGATACGTGCTAGGATTTATGTCCTACATGGGAGACTGGGGCAATTCAGGGCTCACCAGGAGCTACCAAGTGACTGGAGGAACTGCCCTATGCATTTCCACACAGGCTGTAGTTGAAATACATCCACTGTATGCCAGAAATTCTGGGAGACACATTGCAGTCTATAGTTTGGTCAAGGTTTGATTGGTTGAGCACTGCAGCACAGTGATGTGTTGCAGTGCTCAACTCTAAGACAGGAAAGAGCCTAAGTGCGCAGTTGATTGATGAGTTGCGAGGAGAAAAATTTCTCTCCTTGTTAACACTGGTGGTAAGAGCTACCCGAATTAGTAATAAATCACTACTTATAACTCATTATAAATCATACCCCTCATCCAGTGGCTGCTTGGCATGAAGCTGTCTTTAACACAGATTTTACAGGCCTTGCAGATGCAGGCCTGTGCTCAGACTGAGTTTGTAACAAAGGGACCTTGCAGTAATGTCAATCTTCTTATTAGAGGGAATCATCAAAGATAAGATATTAGGTCAAAGCCCCATATAATGGAACTAAAATAACTTTAGCAGCCTAGTTAGTATAGGAGGGAAGTAAAATGGATAGTTGAATAGAAAGGAAAATACATAATGCATACATAGAAGAATCCCTACAGCTGTATGTAATGGTGCTCATGGGAGATGATTTTCATATGCCAACCCTCCGGTTCCTTACACTAAAGGCGCAATAAAAACTTTGTCATTGAACAACTTAATCTTCCCTAAAAGATGGCAATGTCATAGAAAACTTCAGAAACAGAAAGCTCATGCAAGTTCACTAGCATCACCTACTGATACATGGAGCCTTGTGACTAGATTTCCTGAATATTGTATTTAACTTAAAGTTAAGCCATACTTTTTATTATTTATTTCATCATAGTGATCAGCTGACCTCCTTTCTCTGGCAGATCTCCTTATTCCTGAGAAAGAAGAAAACTTTAAAAGCCTGCCCGCCTTTAGTCGTTCTTGGCAACAGTAAGAAAGGTCAGTTGCTGAGGTGAGTAGCTCGAGAGAGGCCTCCAACACCGGAGCGGGGGGAAGCTCAGCGTCCAGGAGCCTCAACTCAGAGAGGCGAGGAAGCCCCAAGTCCTCGACAGGACCTGCCCAGGAGCCGGCAGCTCAGCTGACGCTAGCAGCGACTCCCAGGGAGCGGAGCCCGGAGGGGCGGCAGCAGCCCTGGCTGGTTAAAAGCCAGCCCCAGGGAGCTTGGCGATCCGGGCGGGTCTAGGCTGTTTGCGGGTAAAGGCTGTCTGGGCTACGGGCAAACCCGGCGGCTCACGCAGGCAGAGCGAGCGGGATGGTGAGCACTCGCCTTATGACCAGGGCCCGGTCTGGCAGCTCTGCTCTGGCTGCCCCGGCGGTGGCCAGCGTAGGCACCCAGACAGAGCCGATGAGAGGGGAGGCTGCAGCTCAGAGCTCGGAGTGTAGAGAGTGCCTGCACTGGTCTGGTGAGGGAATGGTGCACAACGGGCAGGGCTGCACTCGGTGCTCCCTGGTGGAGGTCCTGCTGCAGCAGGTGGCTGAGCTGCGGGATGCTGTTAATAGGCTGCAGGATGTCAGGGAAGCTGAGAGGAAGCAGGAATGCTTGCTCCCGGCCCAAACTGTGCAGGGGCCTCAAGCATCCACCGTAGCTCATAGAGGAAAGAAGGAGGCCACTAACCCAGGAGGCTGGGAAACAGCAACAACAAAATAAGGAGGAAGAGGACAATTAAAAGCAAGGGGCTTCCTCCTAAATCTGTTGTCCCTGCCCAGAACTGCTTTGCTGTTCTGCAGGGGGCTAATGAGGAAACACACTCGCACCATGAACAACCGGCTGATGCACTGGTAAAGAAGATCAATACTTTTGTCACCAGGAAAAAGCAGCAAGTCATAGTGGTAGGGGTCTCTACTTTGAAATGAACGGAAGCACCCATCTGTCAGCCTGACCCAGTCTCAAGGGAGGTGTGTTGCCTAGCAGGAGCACGGATCAGGGATGTTGCAGAGAGGCTGCCTGCTCTAGTAGGTCCCACTGACTATTACCCACTTCTACTGATCCATGGAGGTGCTAGTGGTATAGATATCAGTAGCCTAGGGAGCATAAAAAAGGACTACAGAGACCTGGGAGAGGTAGTTAGAGGCTCTGGGGCTCAGATTGTCTTTTCGTCAGTTCTCCAGGATACAGGGGAGGACCTTAAAAAGGCTAGAAGGATTGGCCAGGTTAATAAAGGGTTAGAAGAGTGCTGCCATAGTCTGGGGTTTGGGTATCTAGAACATGGGACTCAATTTAGTAGGCCAGGTCTACTGGGGGCTGGTGGAGCTTTTGTCAAGCGCAGTTTTGGTAGGAGGTTTGCCAGACTGGTCAAGGAAGCTTTAAACTAGATGTGTTGAGGGAGGGGGGCATCATTCCATCCCAACACACCCAGTCAGTTGCCAGCACCTATAATAAATGCTCAGAGCCAATGAGCCGGCTTCATTTGGAGCTTGGCTCAGATGCCTCTATACAAATGCCTGTAGCATGGGGACCAAACATGAAGAATTAGAGATGTGTGCACGTCTATGTGGGTATGATATAATAGGTATCACAGAAACATGGTGGGATGGCTCCTATGACTGGAGTGTTGGAATGGAAGGTTACAGGCTCTTTAGGAAAGACAGGTCCGGCAGGCAGGGAGGGGGAGTTGCCCTTTATGTTAGGGATAGGCTGGAGAGTATGGAACTCTGTCTGGGGACAGGTGAGCAGTCCACAGAGAGTTTGTGGGTCAGGGTTAAAGGGAAAACAGCTATGGGAGACATTACTGTGGGGATCTGTTACAGACTGTCTGATCAAGGAGAACCTGAGGATGAAGCACTCCATAGACAGATAGGAACAGCCTCATGCTCGCAGGCCCTTGCTCTCACTGGGGACTTCAACCACCCTGACATCTGTTGGAGCGACGGTACGGCCCAGCACAAGCAATCCAGCAGGTTCTTCAATTGTGTGGAAGAAAACTTCCTTCTGCAAGTAACAGAGGAGCCGACAAGGAGAGGTGGCATGCTTGACCTCGTGCTCACCAACAGGGAAGGGCTCGTTGGAAATGTTACTCTCCAGGGCAGCCTTGGATGCAGCGACCACGAGATGGTCGAATTCGAGACCCTCAGGACAGTGAGAAGAGCGTGCAGCAAGCTCACTGCCCTGGACTTCAAAAGAGCAGACTTTGGCCTCTTCAGGATCCTGCTTAGTAAGGTTCCATGGGAAATAGCTCTAGAGGGCAGGGGGACCCAAGACTGTTGGTTGATATTCAAGGATCACCTGCTACAATCTCAGGAGTGTTGCATCCCAACTAGAAGGAGGTGCACCAGGAGGGCCAGGAGACCTCCTTGGATGGATAAAGAGCTGTTGAAGAAACTCTGAAGGAAAAAAGAGGCTTATAAAAAGTGGAAGCCAAGTTTAATGCCTAGGACATGGAACTGCTAGAACAAGTCCAGAGGATGGCCACGAGGACCATCAGGGGATTGGAGCACCTCCCATATGAAGATAAGTTGAGAAAGTTGGGGCTGCTCAGCCTGGGGAAGAGAAGGCTGCATGGAGACCTCATGGCAGCCTTCCAGTATCTGAAGGTGGTCTATAAGGATGCTGAGGTGGGACTCTTCATTAGGAACTGTAGTGATAGGACAAGGGGTAGCGGGTTCAAACTTGAACAGGGGAAGTTTAGATTGGATATAAGAAGGAAGTTCTTTACTGTAAGGGTGGTGAGGCACTGGAATGGGTTGCCCAAGGAAGCTGTGAATGCTTCATCCCTGGCAGTGTTCAAGGCCAGGTTGGACAGAGCCTTGGGTGACATGGTTTAGTGTGAGGTGTCCCAGCCCATGACAGGGGGGGTGGAACTAGATGGTCTTAAGGTCCTTTCCAGCCCTAAGTGTTCTATGATTCTGTAAATCAGCTGGTTGACAGAAAGCTCCTGGATTTAGCAATCCAAATGCAGCCTCATCAAAAATAATGCAGTCTCCCTTCCTCTGGTGTCTCTTGCTAGTCAGGCCCCAGGAAACAGGAGGTAGGTCAGCCTAGCAATCTTACGTGTTCTTTCATCTAAGGCCACATCTTCATGCATTTACAAACTAGTACCACAGCCTTTTTGCTTTCCTGTCACAGCTACACAGTAGGTATCAAGGAGTTCAGCGTGGCAAATGGGACTAAGACAGAAGAAGCAGTGTTGTTTCAAGGTAGTTGTTGACTTGAGTCCTGGAAATCATTTCTTCTAGCAAATATTGCCATCCTGCCTCATACATTGTCAAAAAAGGAGGACTTTAGAGGTATGTACCTGTATTTGTGTTTGGATCTTATGAGCAGCGTAGCTATAGAAGCATGAAATATAGCCAAACCCCTAGAAAACCTGTGTATGAAGTCATGCTGAGCAGTGTCCTGTGTGGCTGCACTGCTGCTAGCACTGGAGTTAGCTGAGTAGTGCTACCATAACTGCACCCACACGCAGAACAAACACAAGCTTACCTACAGCTTCATACCTAGATATGCCTGGTACTGATGCCCTGTGCTACAGCTGTTCTTGCATGAGGGAACCCTACAGCTAATCAGCTCTGCTCAGCAGCTTGGGTCGTATGAGATGGCTTATATGTGTATGTGTTGCACAAACATATCCAGGAAACCCTGGAATAAACCATGGTTCATCATGACTGACCTTTTAAAAATCTGGAGATGTCCTGAAGTTGAGGTATGTTATTCTCTTGGTAGCCACAGTATTTCTCCAGCTGCTGGAAAGCATCCAGATACTGCTTACAAGCATGAGTAGGGTAAAGGCTGCTCAGCTTTCTGTAGACTTCTCTCCTGAAAAAATAAAGCCATATAGCATGGCCCGCCTCCATAAAGCAGTACATATCTGCCCTATTTACAGAGAGGCATAAACCCCAGCACTAGAAGTGGTCTAAAAATATGAACTCAAGGCACTAGTTCCAAGTTCTTGGAAGCTGATTCCTGGGTGGATGTAGTAAAGCATAAGGGTTTTTAGTTACACATTTCCTTCAGAAGTTGGGTTCTGTTCAGTAAATCTGTTTTATCCCTTCCTACACCCTCCCTTAACAAGAGGATCCTGATTCAGAAGTGTTTCTTGCTTAGGTATAAATGCATTGGAGGTACCAGAGAAATACCAGAGAGGAAGTTGGAGCTGTGGCCCTCTCCATGTTTTGCAGTTTAGGGATGGAATGAGTCAATTATTCTCTCCCTTTCTATGTTTGGGTACAGCATGAAATGCTGGTCCCTCCACCTCCATGCTGAAGCCTAGCCTATATTTGATTCTTACAAACCTCCTCCTAAAAAAGCACATTTTCTGATATTGAAGAGTGATATATGGACAGGCAAAGAGGTTCATACTTTTGCTGTTCAAAATGCCTGGCATGGGCTATGTATTTGAAAGACTTGCCAATTTCTTGAAGCATTTAGCCCATTATGCAAAAAGAGACCAGCTGAAGAAAAATATATATAACCAGATTTTGGCACAGGCTTCAAGCTTCTCCCAAACTTGATGGTGCTTGGATTTAGAGCTGTGGTTTGGAATATATTTAGCTGTTGCAAAATAAACAAGTAGTAATAGGATGGCAAGAAACCTTATAGAAATGGTTATTTTTGTTCAGACATGGCCCTAGGGTGTTCACAATTTTATAAACATTGTTTTATGAAAATTGAGATCATTCTTGGAAATGCTGGGTACGGAAAGTGACCTTTTGTTGGTTTTGTATTGTATTTTTTTTGTGATGCTATTGTTGCTATGGAGGTGATAACCAATCCCTGGTAATGGCTCTCCTCATTTGTATGAATGTCTTACACAGTGTGGGAGTAATGAACCAGAATGAAGGGGGGAAGGAAAACCTTAGGAGCTAAAAAAAGAACAGAAGAAAACAATGACTGCTGTCACTATTGCAAAAGTCACAGGAGACTGGGCCATTTCCATAGAAGAACTAGGAAAAAATGTGGAGGACTAGAGTTCACGTGTTTCCCTGGCTTATTTCCCCATAGAATACTACTGACTTCAGTGGGATTGCATAGGATCTGAACCGGTACACAGTTCGTCCCCAGACTGGAGTCTGGAGACTATTTTAAACTTCTGCACATATGGTCTCTTTTATCAAAGTATCTACTGTGAGCCCAAACATCAACTACCACAGAAACATGGGCAGTCTCGGAGACTAGTGGTCAGCTATCTAAAGCTAAGTGTCCATCCTCTCTAAGTACCTCTGAGGCAATTATTTAAGTTCCCTCCAAAGTCAATAGAATATCAGATATTTCCAGACAACAATTTAGCTTGCGCTAATGTCTCAAATAGGTGTAATGCCCCACCGTATGGAGGTGCTATCCCTCAAAGGACCATTAAGCTGCTATTTGATGGTACTTCAGTCCAGAGATGGAAAGAGAAACTACTGAAAGTGTGGTCTATGAAATACTCTAGAAAGGAGTCTCAGAACAAAGGATAGAGCAGCCACTTGACTTTATTGGCAATGACCTTATTTTACATAAACATTAGCTAAGAAAAAAGTGACACTATTCAGCTTTGTTAGGAAGATGTGACAGGTGCATCCGCATAATTTTGTCCTAGATTCTTCCTTTTCTTATACAGCTTTTACTCATAAAACAACTTAGTTTCAGAGCCTTCCAAGAAGCCTGCTTGAAAACAGAAACTCTGATCATCTCTACCCTCTGTTTTCTGAAAGCTGTATTTCTTCACTTGATTATTTTCATTTTTATAGCCATGTTGCTACAAACTGAAGGCATCCAGCAACTCTTCAGAGTGAGCACCGAGGGAATTTAATCTGTGCTACAAATTTCCCGTTCAATTGCACAGCGCTCAATTAAGTTGTGCTGTAATGCAGCTGACCTCAGGGCACAGCCCCAGGGGGGTGTGATAACCATTGGGAGGGTCTAATTTTGGAAACAGCTTTACATAACAAGACAACCTGGGTTTCTGAGGCTCACTGTTTGGGGAAATGGGCAGATATTCCTTTAAAGATCTATTCTGTTACCACAGTGGGACTAATTCTAAGTGGAGAATGGCTGGAATGACGGAGGTTGGCAACAAAAGAGAAAAACAGGAAAGAACACAAAATTAAATTTTCTTAAATATGACGTTCCCACACACCATCCCATGCCAAGATTGTTGGCTGATGGTAGCAATCATGAGAATGACACCGACCATCAATCTTTGACAATTCAAAGATGCTATAAAAACCTATTTGAGCTTAATAAAAATGTGATCGCCTGGATGAGTTAGATGCAAGGTTTTTATGTGATTGTGGGCAACACCACTCAAGCTTTCTATGGCACGGTAGATTTTATTTAAAATAAAATGATCACTGAAAGAGATGGGATGGCCTCGTGGTTGAGATTCTGGCATGTGACATCTAGTGTATGGACTTAATTCCTGACATTGATATAAACTTTGTATATAATTTGGGGCAAATTGCTTAAGCTCCAGCTTTTTCATATCTACAGTTATAAAATGTGGTCATCATTCTTCCTTTTTCCCACCTTTAGGCTGTCTTTTAATTGCCATTGTAAACTTTTCTGAACAAAGATCCTCTCTTATTATGTGCACATGTGGCACAATCCTCACACTCTGCTCTAGTTGGGTCATTTGGACATATTTATGTTTGTATTATCATGCAAATGTGTAATCATTGCTGCTTACTGAGATTTGTTAAAGTTAGTGGGAGAAAGTGAAAACAAAGGTATAAGAAATAAGCAGTCTGTTTTCTTTCAGTTCTGCCACATATTTCACATAGTGTCTACAAACATCCTTTGAATTTAATTAATTTTGTTTGTTTGTTTGGCTTTGGGGATTTTTTTGATGCCAAATCTTCAAGAGAAACAAAGTCCCAGTGCAGAAATGCTGCACCCATGTGAAAGTCACTTGCCATCATTTTATATGACATCAAAGGACAGTGTAAATAATACATCATAAGAACACTTTTTGAATTTTCCTTTACCATCCATTTGAGAGAATAACATCTATTCATGTTAACAGCAATGAATACTTTCAGGAGAACAAGCAAGGCAGGTCTGTCCTATGAACATTGGGTTAGCTGCATCCTATCGTTGAACTTCCATCCTGCAAGCGGGTGTTTGCTCCTTATAACAAAGTTGGACCTGTGACATTAATGACACCACCATAGTTATGGTTAATTAGAGAACAGTTAGAAGAAGTTGTTGGAACTAGGTGATCTCAAGGTCCTTTCCTAATTCTGTGGTTCTAAATTATACTATTGGCTCCATTTTTTTTCTGGCTTCTGATATTTTGATAGGATTGGCAGGCAGGGAGACAGTCAGAAAAATTCTGCTCTAGAAAGTGAATAGTTAAGACCAGCTCTGAGAATGGCTTTCTGCAAAACAAATGACCAAAAGGTGATACTTAACCAAGGAGTAAAATTTGAGGTAGATATAGATGGTATTAAAGTGGTTTAACTGTCTCACATTGACAGTCTTTCCTGGAACTGCAGTGTAATGCCCCAGGAACCAGAGTATAAGCAGCAAACTCACCAAGTTGCAGTCTCCTGTGCTGTGTATTCAATGCGAGGCAAAGGGTCTCCTCTGTAACGAAGAGAGGAAATAATGCATGTGTCTAAAGCAGATTACAGGTTTGGTTTCTAAGTATTATTTACTTTCCCTGCACCATGAATATTTGCCAGAATGAAAACAGAAACAGCAAAATTGTACATAAGTAACAACTTCTTAGTCTCAGTAGGTTCTAATGTGTGCATTTTCTCTTCTTTTCCAGTGTGGGGAGGAAACAGAGGGAACAGTAAGAAAGGGAGTCATGTTCTGCTTTACAGAAGAAAAAAGAAGCCTTCAGGCTTACCCCCACCTCTGCTGAAGGCAATCTAGCAACCAAAACACAGTGTCCATCCCTGAGGGATGTGATCAACACAGTAACATTGCAGGGAAGCATTCATAAACTCAGCAGCAGAGAGCTGCCTAGTGCATACACTGCATGATTATCACTAACTTCTCTGGTGGGCAGTCTTCTCTCCTTTTCCTCACTGTTGCTCCTTCAGTAGCTCTGAGTCAGTTCAGTGTGTGCTTTTGTCCTGTTTTGTGCTTCACCAGCTGTGCAACATGGTGGCAGTGAGAAAACTGTACTCAAACAGCAGTCTCTAAAGTCTTGGGAGATTTCAGCAGTTCTTGGACACCATGAAGATGATAATCCATAGCCAGTTCTACCTGTGCATCTAATTGACTCTATCAGACAGCAGTGTGATTCCGGTGAAGTTTTACAAAAAGGCAGACATATTTTCAGCCACCCCCATCAGTCCTGGGAGGTTTTTAAGTACATGGATAGAGACATGTCAAATAAATAACAAAAATATTAAATTGATTTTCTTTGTCAAAAATATGTTCCTAAACATTATTCCATGTATTTCCTTGAAAAACATCAACCTCAGCTCAGAGCAAGCCCTAAAAGGAACTCCAAAATTGAAATTAAGACATCCCATTGAAAAATCACCTCTGCTAAGACAAAATACAGCACTGAAGGAGATGTGAATGCAATCTTAAGATTTTCATCTTTAGGTATATCTGCTGCGTTGTGGGAAAAGTGTTTCATATGGAGTGAAAGCTTCTGTGGGTGGCTGAATTCTCTTTTGTAAAAGATAACCCCATTGATAGGTTGACAAAACATTAAATCTCTGGTATTTCTTGCACACAAAGATGTCTGAAAGCGCATGTGGACCACTGAAGTTTCTCCTCAGCAGTCTCGTACTTACGCTTTGTAATTAAAGGCAAGGTCAGCAAAGAATGCCCTCCGTTTCTTATACTCCAGGTCGGTATATCCCTGGGTTAGAAAACAATTTTTAGAAAGGTTTTACATCAAGAGAGATTTGTGGGCATAAATGCTAACAAAAGCATTCAGGAAACCTAGGTCTCACATAGGTTGTTTCTCTGAAAAAATGAACCTTGAACCTTATGAACAGGGTAAGGCAAAGTCTGAAAACCAGTTACATTCATGACATTTAGGTAAAAATTTGGCCCCTGTGCCTGGAAGGAAAGTAGTGTGGCTTCATGGGAAGGTTTTGGAGTTGTTCATAAACACTACAGCACAGACCAATACGCTTACCGTCAAATTTAAATGCAAACCACAATAAAAATGAAATTGAAGTAGGGGTGTCACTTCTGTTGGCAGAACAGCTGAATCTCTGAATCATTTCTCTCCTGCACTAAGCACGAATGTTGCAATATAGGGTCATCATGGACATGATAGTACCAAGCCTAGTACCACCTTGACAGAGAAAGTACACTGCACCTGAACAATACCCTGCACTTTGAGTTAAGAAGAGGTCCTCACTGGCTAGAAATCATATAGCTGTCACTGAATCTGTAGAAAGAACACGCTTTCAGCTCAAGTCCCCCTTGCCTATTTATTAACCTGTAATGATAAAGACAGATTTAGTGGTATCTGTTTAAAGTGGCCGTTTACTTATTAAATACTGTAGTTTTCTTCTTGCCCCCTCAGTGTTTACTAGAAATTGAGCTTCAAGCAGGAATCCGCAGCTATTGAATACAAATAGAGATGTGGAATCAAATTCCTTTGAATTTTACATCATTCATAATAGGAATAAAATCTGAAATCTGGCACTCTGTTATTAATATAACTCAGAAAGCAGTGTTGATCATCATCACTGTACAAATATTTATTATTCTAAAATATTCAGAATTTACTGGAACCACTTTGCATACTACAAGCCAAATTTGTCCCTTAGGTTTATTCACATAATTTTCAGTGTAGCAATAATACCAGTAATACTTCAGTTAATGAGTATTGTGTGCGCGAATCTGAGGAAAGAACTGGATCCTGACAGCATGTTTATTTTTGTCATGTGTTATGTTCATTCAGATGCCACCCTTGCTTGTCAGTAGCTGTAACAAGTCCATACGGAGCACACAGAAGAGACATTGGGCCAGACTAGCACTGATGCTGTCACTTTTCAGCTTTGTTGCTACTGTTCCCAGGGCTCTCTACCCATGCTCTGAGCAACAAGAGCCTCCTTGGGGGACCACTACAGTCAGTGCCAGTGTGCCCCAGAGAATGGTGTCACAGTGTCATCAGTTTGCTTTTCTGGCCATTAAAGAGACAGTAAAGAACAAAGCAAAGCTGTTGAGATCAACAGCCTAAACTGCCTATTTGGTAGGACATGTATATGCAGAATATTTGCTGAACTACTTGTACATCAGCTTGGTACTTTCCTCCAACCTGCCTTTTTTTGAGCCATCCTCAATGGCACTGTAAATGAGCCCATGTTGTGATTCCTCCTGCCCCAGACAAATGATTTTCAGTGCCTGAACTAACTTGTTTCAAGCTAGTTTAGGTATTTCTACATTGCAGTGCATTCTGCAGTGTAGATTTATCCGCACTCAATACTTTGGTAACTCTGCACCCCTGGTGTTTTCTCACCCTCTTCAGTGCTCATACCTTCTATTCAGTGACAAAGGAAGGGAACTTAGCCAAATTCAAAAAATTTAAAAGGAGCATTCATTTATCTCATGAGAAACAGCTATAGTGCTAGATCAGGAAAATTACCAACATTTGTATTGTTTCTATAAGAAAGATACTAAGAATAATTAAAGATGTCATGGTTAAGGAGGATGTGAAGCTCTCCTATAACATTGTAGCTTAATAAATGATTCTCAAAAATAGAAGAGAGACTTGGAAAGTTTTGTCGTACCACACAGAACTGTACATAGCTAACATTAACATTGTGTAAGTTAACAAAAGGGTCTAAATAGAATTCAGACTTTTCAAGAAGGGAATGAAAATCTTGTAGATTCTGTTGGCACCCATCTAAATTTTCCTTGCGTTTTTCAGTGCAAAGTCTGTGGCTTTGTTTCTTCCCATGCATCACTTCTATGTGATGATTGTCAGCACACTTCACAACAGTTTCGTTACCTACCTTGTCAATCAGAAAATGGCCCTGTGGAGTCCCTTTCTTATCTGTACCTAACTCATATCTCATCTGTACTAAGTTGGGAAACTGATGAGAAATGAGTGTTGGATCCCAGTATTTTGCCTTACTATTATCATCACTAGTGAAGGACTGTACAGTGCATGTTTCCTCTTCCTTATAGGATTTCTACTTATGGCAAGGTTGAGCGTACAAGCACAAAACTATTATGAGTAAAGCCCTTTTTGTAGCCCACTCATAACCAACGAATCCAAGGGAAAGCTCATCATAAACATTCTAACAATATTTTGCTGAGTACTATCAATAAACGCTGGCAAAATCCTGGCTCCAAATACCTTGTGCAAAGTCAACTGTAAATTAGGATTATAATATTTCCAATTTACTTGCTATTTAAACTTTAGATCTGATTTAAACTGAAAGCACTAGACCTTTTGAGCTTCTCCAGTCATATTTACATCTCAGTTCAGTTATCCAGTTATCCAGTTATTCAGTGCTGTCATGTATTTATCTTATTTTCTGTCTAGACAATTTTTGCAAGTTTAAGCATTATACTCCCATCTGCGGGATCTGAGGATCTGGTATTTATTAGCTCTTTGCCATTTGTCCTCAATATCATCATCTTTACATCGGCACTTGAATAAGATTCCTGGCATGTTTGAAATTTAAAAACGCAGATATGGAATATCTGAAGCGTCAAAACAGAAAACACAAAAAGCAGAAGGCTGGGGAACTTGACTCCTGTGTGGACCAGAAGTTACAAAGTGGGCATACTTCAAATATATCGGGGTGAAATAGTAAACTAGATTTTTTTAAACTAAACAACAAAATGTAAACTTACGCTAAAGAAGATGTGAAATAGAAGTTACTTCAGTGTGTGCCTGATGTTAATCATAAGTACCTTGGTGAGTAAGAGCCCGTAAGTTTTTCTCAATATTAAGTTATTCACTCTGCAGTCCCTAATTCCACTTGGATCAGACTTTCTCTGGTCCTTTATTTTTATTGTCCTTTCATGAATATTTCTTTGCTCCTGAAATTTTCCTAACAATTCTTTTTTCTACAGTTTCTTTTTAAAAGATGGAAATAACAGTGACGGTAAACTTACAGGGTGACCATGGTCCAAACTGGGATCATACTTAGTGATCAGATGGTGACATTTGTCCAGATCTTGGACTTTCCTAGGGAACCAGGGCACTGGAGAGAAAGTAGCAAGACTTAAATGAGATAGGATTAAATAATTTTTAACAGGCACAGAAAATAAAAGTTGTGCTGATGATTACAAGCCTTTTGTTTTCATCAGCTACATGTCACTGTGTGTCAGTAGTTGAATTCATCTGCCAACCAAATTGGCAGACTGGACAAAAAATAATCTAAAACTAATTTGCAATGATACCACTCTTTTAATGAGTAGTAAGGGCAAAAAAAACATTTCCTTTTAGTCCAAACAAGGTATTCTGTTTGACACAGAAAAACAAATTTATTTCTACATTTTGGGTTTAAGAAAATGTTTTGATTTTGTCTAAAAAGTAGTCCTAAGTTTTTATACCTTTAAAAATGAAAACATTTTAAAAGGAAAACAAGAAATTTCTAAAAATAAAACAGGTCAAGAAGTATCCTGACTTCAAGATTTTCCTTCTGGCACCTTTCGCCCCCCCCCCCCCCCTCCCCCCCCCCCGAATTATAACATTAGCTGAATTTCCAAACATTTTCTTTTCTCTCAAATGGGGACCTTTTCTGGTGAACAAAATAAACTGTGATCATTTTAAGTGCCAGCATTTATAACTAATGAATTTAAAATATTAATGAAAAAAGACAAAGTTGAGACTGTTTTCTGAGGTCAGACAGATGCTGCATTACAGCTCAGGAAAGGTCCATTTGGGGTCACTTTAACCTCATACTTGACAAGAGACCAGGAATCTCTGGCAAATGAATGATAAATTCAGCTATAGCTCTGTTATAGTATATCCAAGCACAGACAGCTCTCAAAAGTACAAGTCTACCAGTACACACTGATATTGGGAAATTCTAGTTCTTTCAATCAGTTATGGCCAGTTCTGCAATAAGAAGGAAGAAATAACTTGTCTGACAGATGCCTTAAGCCTACCCGGAATTTTTTTCTGAGCCTATGTCTTTGGCTGTGCCATACTGCATGCAAGATGCCTGCCCTGCCATCTATGGCCGTATCTCCTCAAAACCTGTACCTGATCATAAGTCCACAGGCTATGACAAAGTGCCTCTCTTTCCACATCATTCCCATTGGGAAGTATCCTAATTCAGGGAAAAAAGTCATGCAGTGAAGAAAAATGAATGCACACTCACCTGCATGCCAAACAAATTAAATTACTATTAGGAAGCTAAAGCTTAAGAAGTTACTCCAAAAAGAAACCAAACAGCACTAGCAGATGCTTATGTTTCTTACCTTTGTCTTCTCTGCTAGTTCTCACATCCTCTGCTACTCTCTTTAAGGAAGTGATAAGGGGACTAACATCAGCACTGTGAACTTCACATTCAACAAAAATATCAAGCATATCAGCAGCAGAGTTCTTGGGCTTCTTGGCTCGTCTGGTTTCAAAGTGATGTATCTGAGCTTCAGAAGTCTGCAAGAGCCAGATGTTCATATAATGCAACTTCTCCAAAGACTGAGAATCCAGATAAGTCTAGATACACTTCTACAGTGTCTTTAAAAGGTGACTAAAAGAGCTATTAAGTCTTTTAAAGTAAAGTGCATATTAAGCGATGAAGCTTAATAATGTCCAGTTTAGGAGCTAAAATGCAAGCAGAGCTAAAAATTAAATACCGTAGAATTAGGTAGAGATAGATGGAGATGAAAGATAAGATGCTGTTGACTGTAGCATTCCATCTGTGCAGAAATAACAAATGAGTAGCTGGGTAACTCTTAAAACCCTGGCAGAATGAAAGCAGATCTATTGATGTATAATGACACCATAATCATTAAATAATTGCAAACAATTAAAAATAAGTAACATATACAATACTTGTTTTTTCAGTTATTCATTTTTCATGGATGAGAGTGAGCACCTGGCAGGGACACTTCAAGTGCCCAGAATATATAATGCCTGTATGGTTTACAGCTCTTGTTCTCTGGATCTCCTTGCCAAATATGCAGAGAAAATTCATTGGCTTCTAACATCCCCACAATCTGAGTGCTTGAAATGCTGGCCTGTTGTTTAGTCGTGGCTGGCCACCACAACTGCTGGAAAGAAATAACAGATCAGTATCTGCTCTAAACAGCCCTTAAATAAAATGCTGACTCTTCTAAATGACTGTCCAGCTGCTCCCTCCCTCCAGAGCACTATCCTTTTTAACTTGGAGAGAACAGCTGACCTCTCTGAGCAGCTGTAGCAAAATAGAGACAATGAGAAAGGAGGAAGGCAACTGGAGGCATAAGTCAGGCAGGGAGCATGAGATGGATGAGGGAGGGTTGATGCAGAGTGGGAGAGGTGAAGGCAATAGTGGCAGAAGAGAGGGCTTGATGGAGGAAAAGAATGATGAGGTCTGTACCTCAAAGACTTTGACTGCCTTAGAGAGCTCAATCTTCCTGACATTGCAGAGGGTGAGGGTCAGGATAAGAGTGGTTCTGCTATCCTCCCTGTTGGAGTCCAGACTGCCTCGCCTGTTCAATGACTCTATGCCACGCATCTCCTTCTCCTTGCTCGCCTCTTCCTTTTGGCCTGAGATCCCCACCAAGTCAGTCTTCATTGGAGATGTTGAGTGGAAACTGCCTGAGGATGTGAGTGCTTTCGCAGAGCAATGACCAGGGGAGGTGGTGGGACTGGAGATCCAATGCGTCTACATGGGTAGTAAGATCAGAGCTGCCAGACAGCAGGGAAGCAAACTGGTTGGTACTGTGTTAGGTGTACAGACATTTATGTTAGCCATGCCAGTCACATCAAGGGAAACCTCCTGCGTAGGATGTGCGCAAGAGCTCAAGATAACCCTCCTCCTCTGGGTAACTTCAAAGCATGGCCCTCCTGCTCTGTTTGAAGGTGTCTGCAAGTTGTTCAACCCTGGAGATTGGCTCCTTTGTGGAGAGGCAATTAGCCTGAGCCCCATTTACATCTCCTAGTCAGGACTGCACTGCACAATGCCTGAGACTGCCCTTCCTTCCCATCCCCTCTTAACTCACTGAGGCCCTCTCTGCATTGAGCATGCCCTCAGGTAACAAAAGGGCCTCTTGCCCCAAATCCCAGCCCAATCCAAGTGGTGTTCCCTCTGCACAGACACCATTGTGGGAGTGCCAGAGAGACCTGAGCCAGACTCAAAGTTTATTGCCTACTTCTTAGGTTTTTCTGCCCAGAAGGTCTGTCTGACCTGTTCTGCCCTAGCTCTACAAGAGCTGAGTGTTGCCTCTAGACTTAGATCATCTTTTGGAACTTACTTCTGTAATGATTTTATCTCCAGTGAAGTAGACTCTCAAAAAGCCCAGGGTCACATTTTTCTAACAGCTAGTAGGGCAATCTCAGAGTGGGCATCAGCTCTGCTCTTGCCAGGGCATGGTATCCCTTGACATCCACAAACATATTTCTGGGTATGAGCACCTGTATCTTCATACCCCAAGTTACAGTGTGCTGGAACCCCTGTGAAAGTCAACTTACAGATCTACAGAGAAGACTATCTTTTGTCCTCCCTTTGCAGATGGAGCCACTTCTTATGTGCCCCCACCTGATCCTGTAACTGGGTCACACCCCACAATTCTATACTGCTTTTGCCTCCTCCATGGCCAGAAAAGATAAAGACAGTGCAGAGAAATTTTGTTCTCCAGAGACCATGGCAGCACCATGTTTCCCCTTTGCCCAAAACAGAGCACTGTGAAGATCTCAGTTTCACCATTATTGCCTGGCTTGAGACAGACAAACCCCAGGTGAATTTTGGAGCACCATGCCCAGAAGGCAGGTCTCAGTGTCCTGAGGAACATCAGCCCACCCAGACCTCAGGCACTGCGGGCTTTGCAGGGCATGGTGAGTGCCAGACTGAGAAGAGATGCTCCCTGTCCGGGCCTATTCCAGGTCCGGATGCTGCCCGCGGGGAGGGCAGAGTCGGGCAAGGTGGGGCAGGGCAGGCAGCTGTCCGCGGTGCTGAACCTGGCCTGGCTCTGGGCTTTGGCACCCTCCGCTTTGCGGGCGGCTCCGGTCGTCCCGCCCCTGGCCTGGCTCGGCTCATGTCCCGGGTGAAGTCCGGGAGGGCAACGGGGCACTTCAGAGGCGGCTGAATTGCAGCTGCAAACTGGATGGGGCAGGGGAAGAAGAGGGGTGCCTTAAGGGGGGAAAAGGGCTCTTCCCCCTCCTACATACCCCCAGCAGTGGAGACAAGAGAGGGCATAAGAAAACAAGCCGAGCAGAGTCTATGTGAGTCCAAACTGGGTCTTTCCCATGCATCCCCACATCCAGGCCACAGCCATGGCACAAACAACAAATGCACAAGGTCTCCTACTCCAGCTACATGTGGACATGTATGTGAAGGCCATAAAGCTCAAGATGCATGTTTAAGACACTGGTCACAAGTACAGGCAGATCAAGGACATCAGGCTTCTGTGGCTGTCTTTTATGCTCTAGTGTGAGAGTCCTGTCTCTACGTGTTTGTACAGCATACAGCTCTAATCATAGTTCTGCATATGAATTGAGTCTTTTTTATAGAGCCAGAATGTGGGCAGAGCTTACGGCACAGCTTTGTAGCCCGCTGCAATAGCAGCACAGAAAGCTCTGGCTCTCCAGGTGGTTAAATGTCCTTGCCTAGCCTATAGACACTCCAATACAACCTTGAATCCATGCTTGGGACAGGCCCAGGAAGGTCTCATTCATGATGTAAGTCAGCTCTGATGAGACATTCTGGAGTCCTAATTTCAGCACTTTCAGGGACCTCTGGGAGTGCAGAGGAAAGATCTCAGGCTGGGTGCTGCAGTTTAAAGGGTTGTAAAAGGATGGGAGCACAGTATGTCATCCTTTTACATGGGGACAGGCAGATTCTCCCTGCAGAAGGTGGGACTCTCCCGACCAAGAGTAGGCTCACCCCTCTCCTGCAGCCACTGGAGTGGGTGCTTTGAATGGCTGATCACCGCAAATAACCTGCCCAATTTTGATTTGTTAATATTGTGGGTGTCTCCATACTGTATGACCTCAGTGCTATTAATTTGAGATGGATATGGCATTAATATTTCTGTTTATTTAGATTAATTCATATGGTTACATTTGAACATCAAGAAAGTCTTCTCTGCCAGCATAGTTTGAAGCCACAAAGAGACAGGTTTTCAAATAATGCACTCCTGTGGAGCCCTCCTGTGCTTAATCCCTCTTTCAATAATTTCCATGCCCTTAGGGGAATGAAGTGTCCCTTCTCCAGGCTGCTGCCAGATCTAGGCATCTTAAGACACCCAGAGGAGACCACCTCCCTGTGTCACCTGTGCTGACAAGCCCTCCCACCACCACCACCACTGACCTTGGCCAAGGTCACTGGAAAGAAAAAGAGCCTTGTGAAAGGGCTTTTCTAATCACCTAAACAGAGCTGGAGATAGGGAGATCAAGAAATGTGATCACAGTGGGGTAGAAGAGAGGAAGATTACTCACCAGATTAGCTTGGGATAGGTTAGTCAAAGTAGCATACAAAGATTTACAGAGAATGAACAGATAGAGCAAGCAAGGCTTTGATGTATATTTCTAGGCAATTACACACGTCAAGAGATACATTTTTTTAATAGCACTTTAATGATCTTGTCTGGATGTGTGATAGTCAGTCAGTCCAAGAAAGCTTTCTTTGTATTGCGGCACACACCTCTAATGGGCATTCCCACCTACCTGGGTATTTAATTCTGAACGACCTGTGTGGTTACCTTACAAAGAGGAGTTACACTGGCTACGTAATACAAAAAGCATTTTGCTACACAACATGAATTTTCCTTAAGCATGAAATAAGAATCCTCCCATGAATAAGTACTGTTTAAAATGCAAGTTATTTGTACTAGTTAAAGCTAATTTGCTCTGCAAGTGTAAAAGTAGAGGTACAGAGGGCTAAGCAGTATATGTATACCCCCTGAAAGGTGTAGAGCTTGGGACTCCACAGAAACATTGCACAAAATTGAGGGACTGAGGGGAGAATGACTTTGAGAGAAAGCAAGGTGGATTAGTCTGCCTGTGGGCCCAGTGTGGTAATGCAGCCACACAGCTGCAGCAGACTATAGCTCTGCATGGTGGAGATCTCTCTCTTCTGTTAACCTTTGGCACAAGACTTACGGAGGCTTTCCCCAGATTCCCAAAAATAAGGTCATTTTTATGCATTAGTGAGAAAAAATTATAAGTGTCTGAAGGCTAAAAGTGTCAAGGGTCATCTGCAAATGTCTGTTTTTTTGCTAATCTCTAGAAATTAAGATATATATCATAGGCATTCATGCAGTGTACAGGAAGATAATAGGCAGAGGCTAGATGAAGACTGGGGCTGCACAAGGCAGTTTCTAGGCAGTAGGCAATGACTGATATGTTACAGCAAATCTTCATTTTATCTTCTGGAGGGCATTGCAGAGGATTCCCATCTCACCTGCAAAGGAAATAATCAAAGCAGTTAATTCTACAGCTAGCTGTTTCTAACACTCCTGTATATATTTACCCTTTCTATCATTCATTCCCTGAAAGAGTAAGGTGAACAAAGAAGTGATGGATTGGACACGTGTATTAGGGTGTTACTGGAATAACGTCTACAGAGTCAGGTCTTTGCCTTCATCAGCCATACAAGGATGGCTCACTGGATCAGGGGTGCTGGCTCTCCACAGGCTAGCCAGTGTTAGGGGGCAAATGTATCAGGAAAAAGGCTACAATGGCAAAAGGAAATGGAATTAAAGCCAGGCTTTTCCTTTTGCTCTTCACTGAGAACAGATAGAGCCACCCATCAGAATCCATTGCAAAGCCTTTTGGACTTTTCTAGCACTGTCTCCAAAACTGGGTATTTCATATGTAACAAACTACAGTCAAGTGGAAATGCTATTTTGAATCTTGAATAGAATTAGGAAGCATTTTTGCACGAGAAAGAAGATGTGTGCCACTTTATCTTGGTCAGGCTCAAAGCATTAAATGTAACCAAACAAAATCTGGTTTGTGGTTTCTATTTCTGATCCAAGTTTTGAGGAAGTCAGGGTAAACAAATCTGTAGTTCCTTACTATTGATAGTGTCAGCTAAGTTCTTCAGCTGCTTTGCATTGTCCAAGACTTCAATCCTCTGGGTGTAGGGATTGTACCGAACAGAGAAAGGACGAGGGATCATTTGAGCAAATTTCCTGAGGCAAAAATACAAAAACACATACAAACTTGAAAAGCTCCTTTTTTTTCAGTAACTCACTCTTTTCTCGGTGTGTGCATTTGTTGATGAGGGGAATAAAAAAATCTATGACAGCAAATAACTGAAATTCCTGCTGAGTCAACTGAGACCTACAGCGTTCTATAATAAACTTGAATTTGCATTTGCCCTTACTACCTTTGTTGTTTTCCAAACATGACTAGTTATGCTATTGGCATGGCAACGCTGCTCCTGATATAGGCCAACTATGTAGCTATTGGGATTTGCCAAACTTGAAAACCTCATTTTCCCTTCAGTAATGCAAAATATAGGAAACCTGCAATTTCTGGGAAAATAAGGGCAAGTACTTATGCCATTCTGGCATAAAAGGAGCAAGCAGAGTGCTAACTTCTGGCATGTTTGGTAGTGGCTTCTAGGTCATTACAAAGATAGGAGATAGATAGCCAATGGAGCAAAACAGCATTCTTGCCACCCTTTATTTGCAGCCTTCCCTGCAGTAAAATAGTTAATTCCATGGCAGAAGTATTAAGATTTTTGAAAACATTAATTTGCATAATCACAGAACTGTGGAAAGGAGGACTCTGAATGGGATGAAATAGTCAGAGTCAGAGCTATTGTTCCAGGCTCCTTGTAGACCCCAGCAGGATACTAGCTTATGTATCTGCTTTGGATTAGTGAAGTTATTGCTGAAAGAGGAAGGAAAGCACGCAGGAGTTGATTATGTAGCCCCACTATACAGAGTGTGACTCAGCATGGTAAATCCCTTATGTCCAGAACAGTGGAATATGCTGGGTGCCACCGCCACATTGCTCCTTCAGTTTAGCCCTAATTATTATCAGCTAAGGCCATTGTCTCAAACAAAATTCAGTGTGAGCAAGCCACAAGGTGTGACAGTGGAAAAAATTATATTTGCTATGATGAAAGCGTTCCGTGGCACCAGTCCAGTTTTTCTTAAGGGTAGAGATCCACCTTAGAAGCCAGTCTGCCTAAATCTCAGCTGAAGGTGAGATCCTAATTAGAAGATGAATGCCTTGAGCTGAAATATTTTAGGTCAGCCTCAGAATAATTTTTCAGGGAGGTTTTCTATTACACACAAACACACAAGTCCAGGTGCAAGCCACAGACAGAGGCATTGGACCAACCTGCAGACCTCTATTTCAGTTTAACCACTTTTCCAATTTGGTCACTGAAACAGATAAAAGAATTTCCAAGATAGTTTGTACAGAGTAAGGCTGCATATTCCACTTTCTCAGGGAACTCGCTCTTCAGTTAGAGTATACAGAGAAGATGATAGAAACTGTGTGCGAGATACTAATAGCACAAACCAGAAGAGAAGGCCATATTTTTTTAGGTATTACACCAGAGAAAAGGGCAGAAGGAGATGCTGTAGGCTTATGAAGACTGAAGAAGCAGCAGGGGAGGTAGCTAGGAAGCCCTTAGAGCTGGGAAGCCTGGGGCAGCAGAATATCTTAGGTGTCAGTATGTGTTTATCTGTGAATGGGAGAAAGAAGGCAAGAGAAGACACTGTAGGCCTGGGACAAGTCCCTGTGTGGCATCTCCATGTGAAAAATTTGTTGAGTGCGAACTAAGGCTAACCCCCAGTAGCTTGACTAACATCCAGAAATATAGTGGTGGTTTTCTTAAACAGGAATAAAAATACTGCTGTGAGGTAGAACCCAAGCTGAACCCCAAATACAATCTGAGCCATTCCTGTTTCAAGAACCAGAGCTGAACCTGGACCATTTTTTTCAAAATCTTGTTGAACTTGAACTGAATCTGTATTTCAGTCACAGATGACTGAAAGATTTACTGTGTAGCCTTGTTGTCTTGTAAACACATGGCTGGTAACAAGCTGGAGGCTCGGTATAAAAGTAACCACACAGGCCTCAGGATTGGGGTTATTAGGCTTCCTTGCAGTTTTGTTTAGCTTTAATAACAGTTGTCTAATGACCATGTAGCTATTACCTAATTTGTTTTAGTTTTGTTTAATTCTCAATAATTTTGCGTTACAATGTCTTTTTAAAATATTTTTCACATAGGCAGGAATCACAAGTAGTTACACTGTACATAGGGAACTAAGTCTGAACCTAAAGTAATGATGCACCATAAAGAAGCATGTGCTGATAACAGAGACCTTAAAGGTATGAGCATAGAATGCTGGTCCCCAGGCTATCAACAACTCCCCACTGGTCAGTTATTCACAGCAAAGCAAACTTAGGAGCTGAGGAGAAAAAAGGACAAAGAAAAAATTAACATAAATAGTAAATTAACACAGATTTGCAGACCTATGTAGAAAGAGCAAGATGTAAAGCATGTCAGAAAACATAAAAATGGCCCTGAAGAAACCTTGGGATGAGGAGAAAGAAAGAAAACATCCACACCAGCCACCTTCTCGCAAAAGAGAGGAAGGAACTCCCTTAACTAACATCACAGTACTGCTCTGAAGACCTGAAGATGCTGATTGCTTGAGAACTTCATCCCCCACCACAAGACCGAAACTATTTACTTTAGGCACAAAAGACAGAGAAAAGAAGTAGATACTAGGATATTTTTTCTACAAGAACTTTTAACTATAGTAATATTATTAGACACCTGCTCTATATTAGTTAGCTAGCCTTGATCCTAAATGTTAGTATCATTGCTATTGGACTAATAACTTTTTGTTTCATTTTGGTTATACAGGAAATCTTAAACTAACCACAAATTCTTGGCTTTATGTATAAGGTAACAAATGCTTCATCTCTTTAAGCACTGCACATCTTTTTCTAATGTCTCTCAAAATGTTGCTGTCAATCCAAGATTTATTATGGCAATGGGATCCACTGTATTGGCAATGGACAGAAAACTGGGTCTTCTCTGGAATGACTGGATTACCTTAGCTTTTCTTTTGCATCTTTGAAACTTTCAGCAACATAGTAGATTGGCTGGAACTCAGTAACAGGGTACTTCTGCACAGCAGTCTTTTCCAGGACAAGAGGCTGAATCTCAGGCTTACTTGATAGACAATACTACAAGCAAAAAGGTAATAAATATATTTCAGTTTAGAAGAGCTAAGAAAGAAATATAAAGCTCCTGAATACCACCCAGTTTCAGACAGGAAAGGGTTGCTCCTGTGGAATACAATGACAATGTCACTTGTTAGGACAGAAGCAGAAATGAGTCCCCTGTGTGTGTATACACTGACATATTTATTAGAACTCTTCAGTGAAGTATGACATTTTGTGCTACTTCTATGCACAAAGTATGAAGCAAAATAAGGATCTGAAGACATTCAGAAGAGAAATTTGAGCAATTATAAACACCTTTGAAATGCTGTTTTATGGAACACACCTGCAGCTCCCCAAATGAAGACAGCAGCCCTGCACCATATGCCTTGAGTGAGTCGCCTTCCTTACATAGTCCAAACTCCACTGTAAACCAATAAACCTAAAAAGAAAATTAGTCAGAAGCATATGATTCCTTGACCAAAAAGAACAGGTGCACATCATTGATTTGATTACATTTGGAGTTTAAGTTTCTATTTAAAATGTTGCCATATGTCAAATATCAACTATATAAATACAATAAATGTCCCCACAGACTGAAATTCTTCTCCTGAAGGGGCACAGTGCTAGACTCAATGTGTCTGTGATTCAGTTCAGTTTCCTGACTAACACAGTTGTGTTTTATTGTGCTTACATTTGTCAGCAGAGAAGAGACAATGAAACTATGGCAATAAAATTTCATTTTGGCTGGCTGACTGAAGTTTGAACCTTAGTTGACAGAAGTTTGTGTCCTGTTTCACACAGAAGGCATCTAGCTGCAGCAGCAAGAGAGGGAATGGGCTGTTAGTGCAATATTGAAGGAAGATGGTGTGTGGCCTAGCTTGGTTTCTTGGTCTGTCATTTTGAAGGGATACCTGCTCTGGCTCGGAAGAACTACCTCATGTATTCGAAGCAGTGAAGATGGTGCAATGCTTTGCTCAGGTCAGTTGGTGCTGGGAACACTAATCTTAGAGGCATACGCTTGTTTTTATTAGAAGTTTGCAACTCTGGGCCTCAGCAGCCTCAGAGTAGGATTCAGGTGAGCCACACTGACTGCAGAGGACATTATCTACCTGGCAGGGTGGAAGAGAAGAAACACTTGCAGGTAAAATAGAAGCTGTCTCCTGAAATTTCCTGTGAGGATGTAGTAACACGTACTCTCTTCTTGCCCAATATGTTTGTGCTGGAGGAAATCTTGTCTGGGCTTCTGTGTTTAATCAGATCTGTCACTTTGAATAAGAGGTGCCAAAGCTATTTTTCTTTAATGTGACTGTTTCAGGGTGGGGTTTTCCAATCATGGGCTTTACTCTGTTTCCATTCAGCTCTATGGGAGTTCTATCAGTGACTTCAGTGGCAGCAGAATTAAGACAACATAGGGCACTTCTTTGGAAAATTGAACCCTCATTTATTAAATTACCGTAGCAAGTTTCTCGATGAAATCATCCGGAGCTCCCAGAGATGCCAGTCCAATTTCCTGTAACAATAAACCATTATTCTTCAAGCTGTTTATTACAAACATTCTTCCTGTCTTGTCTTATGTAATTTCTCACATTTTAAATGTTACCATCGCTTACTACCACACACAAATGTTTACAGGACATGTTCCTATCACGCAACATCAACTTGAAACCAGAAATCTCTCCAGAAATGAACAAAGGGTCTTGTCCAAATGTTATTTACAAGGCATGATCCTTTGTGCCCAGTACAAAGCCCATTGAGTTCAAATAAAATTCTCCTCTTGCTTTGACAGGCTTTTGATCAAGTATACAATGCACATCTGAGAGAATGATATGGTCAAAAGGAGGTAAATCAATCACACCCACACACCTTAAATATTTCTCTTTGTTCTGTGGGACTGTGATTGCATGAATTTTTCTGGAGTCTTGAATGAGCTACTTTTTCTGAATGACGGGCATGATTTGAAAGAACTTATTCATACCTTGGGCGTTAATGCAGACTTTCCTAGGAGGTGTAGCTGGATTCAGAACACAGCCACAAAAGACTGTATATAACCAAGTTTCTTTCTTGGTTTGCCCCAGTGAGGACTGTGCAATGCAAAAATTGGAGCACCACACACACACACACCAAGAGCATGGGAACAGACATCACCATGTCAAATCCTAGTGAGCCAAAAAGTCCATCCTTCCTTCCTTCCTTCCTTCCTTCCTTCCTTCCTTCCTTCCTTCCTTCCTTCCTTCCTTCCTTCCTTCCTTCCTTCCTTCCTTCCTTCCTTCCTTCCTTCCTTCCTTCCTTCCTTCCTTCCTTCCTTCCTCCTTCCTTCCTTCCTTCCTTCCTTCCTTCCTTCCTTCCCCCTTCCTTCCTCCCTTCCTTCCTTATCTTCCTTCCTTCCTTCCTTCCTATATTCCTTCCTTCCTATCTTCCTTCCTTCCTTCCTTCCCTCCCTCCCTCCCTCCCTTACCTCTTCCCTTCTTCCTCCCTCTTATTTCTTTTTCATTTTTATTCTTTCTTCTTTCCTTTTTTCCTCCTTCTCTCGTTGTGTCTTTTCATGGTAAGATGCAGCCAAAAGTTTACTCCTTCACCGAGGTTTGGCTTCTTTTCCAAAGATGTTAACACTACCAAAGAGAAAGGTCCTCTCCAGCCTTCTCCCATGCTTGCAGCTGGGGCAATTCCTCACTTTACTCAGCGACCTCTGCGGCTTCAATAGAAAACAAAAAAAAAAAACCCTCCACTTTCCCTAACATTTAGACTGCATGGTGGGGCAATAATTCATCTGACTCATGAGCCATTTAACTTTGCTCAGCAGGATCAACATCTACAAAAGGGTTTTTAGATGATAGCTTTGCAAAGGGTCTGCCTGCAAAAAAACAGCTCACAGAAGACAGGCTTTTGGAGTTTGAGTGAATGAGTTCACGTAAGCAATTTGTGTCAAGACTTCAAGCAATAAATAAATCGGCCTCAGCCACTCTTAAACAGTATGCTTAAAGGTGAATCCACCCCAAAACTCATAGCTCTTGGCTCATCCTCTGAATTACCAAGTCCCTGGTGTGTTCAGTTATATAAATATTATAATTGCTGAGTAACTTACCTGGGAAAACTGAGCAAAACTGGGATCAGCAAAAAGAGGCACGTGTCCTAGCAGCTCATGACAAATATCACTGCAGGAAAACATGACATCTGAATAACTTTAAATTAGTAAAAGTCCAGCAATGCTGGATGAATGCCCTAGAGTCAGCACATAATCAAGAGTGCAGTGCATTTCCTCCTAACATCAAATAATGCTCAAGAATCATGGGAAAATGTTCCAAAATTATTCTTGTGATGGAAAAGCATACACACTCCAAGGTTTTCAGTACTTCTACCATCATGCATCCCTCAGAGGGAGGTTGATATATTATCTGTTTATGCTTATGGAAGAAAACCATCCATTCAACTGCCTGCTCAGCTCAGGAAAGCTCAGAAAGAAAACACCCCACAAAAGAGAGCATGGATTTTTCAATCTCAAGGACAACAAATGTCTTTAGACTAAGTTTAGGCTATTAAGGCAATTCACCATGGTGTCAACATCTGCATCAAGAGCTCAACTCCAGTCCACGTTCAGGCGCACAGCCTCCCACTAAGATGTAGGAACTTGCCCTTCCTTAGGTCGAACTATTTTCATCACAAGTGGCAGCTTGACAAGCATATTTGGGGAAGAACTCACCTAAAGACAACTAGATTTTTCAAAGACAGAGAAGTGATTTCGTAAGAGGGAAAGGGGAGAGGAATAAGATGCTCCCAGGAGGGCCAGGCCTTTGGAAGACATTTCAGCATGGCTTTGTGCAGGATGAGAATGGGGTAAGCAGATGTAAGGAGGAAAATCAGAAAAATGAGGGATAGAAAAATAGAGACAGAAAGGAGGCTGTGGGAAGAAGTAGGAAGCAAAGTAAAGGTAAGGGAGGGGAGGAAGAATTGTAATAACATGAAGCAGAGGAAAACTGTTTTGAAAATGACACATAGAAAAGGACAATGGACAGGGACGGAGAGAAACATTACAGCATAAAACTGAAAAAAAGAAGGGATCAATGATCTGGTCTTCCTTTATCTTAATGCCAGAAGCTTGCATGCAACATGTTGAGTCATTCCTGCACTAGATTTCACGCCACTATTTGGGTGCTAAATGCCTTTGTACACTGCTCCCTCTTGCATCCCAACCACCACACAAGCATGCTTTCAGTAGCAAAACTGTCTCATCCATCCCAAGAGAACTTGCAGAAGAGGATGAAGCTTGTTAAAAAGACTAGAAATCTTCCAAAAAATGTTTTCAGAAGAGAGCCACTTGGCTGCTCTCCATTAGCTCTGTTCCCAAGAGTGCTCCAGAGTTCCACATGGTTATTATCAGTTGGGCTGACCCTCGTTTTAGCCTGCTGCAACTTTACACACTTTCTGTGCCAAAGTACTTACGGCTCTGGTGTGTACATGGGCTTGGACGCATGGCGAATATACTGTGTAGAGTGGAATACTCGGAATGCCAGCCCAGCCAAGAAATCCCGAGAGGAGAGCAAGCCTGCAACAGGACGCAGGCGAAATCCAGTGCAGGCTGAAGGGACAAAAGAATGGTGTCATGTGTTTGATTTATCCTTATCCAGACTCCTCACAGTGGAAAAAGATTGTTAATTGTTTTGTTTGCTCTCTTTATGTTAAACAGAGCTTAACTCTGAAAAAGCAGGGAATTTTCTGCCCATGCGTACCACCATCACAGTATCTGAGCATCTGTACCATTGCTCCCCTGGAAGGTTTAGAAAGGGACATGTGACATAGGCTAAGTGCTCCCCCAAGCACTGTGGGGAGCCTGTGTTAAAGCAGGGACCACTTTTCCATCTCTGGAAGCACCACCCCACTGACAGCTGAGGCCTTTGGTTTGTTTTGGTATTTTTTAATATGCTGCAAACTTACTCTGCAGGAATTTGGAAACATCCTCAAGCTGGGGAATGTTGTCCTCCCGGTAGCCACAGTACTTCTCCAGCAGTGGGAACACGTGATTGTGTTCATAACAAGCATGAGTTGGATAGAGACTCTTCAGCTCCCTGAAGACGGTGCCCCAAGTTTTCCTTTCTTCTTCTGTGTAGGTGACTCGAGGAATAGGTTGGCCACTGAAAAGAAAACGGATACACTCCATAAGAACAACAGAGAAAATGTCTTATGTCGCCACCATCATACTCAGGACCCTTACATGGACTGGCATGTAAGCTGTTAGTGCAGGAGAGGAGATGCTTTTCATCTGACATGCAGGTGTAAAAGGAGCCTCACTTGACCCTAGACACAGGCTGGGAAGGTCTTTACTGACCTTAGGTGACCTTAGGCCTTTAGAGAATACCTTGCGTTACTGTGGTGAAAACAAGTACATGCTTATTTGTCTTAGCGAGTTGTTCTAAGTGTATTTGTTGTCTGTTGGTTACAGTTTATTTGCATTTCTAAATATGGTGCAGTCGTTGTATTTCTTGCTCTAATACACATTATATTAGTTGTTTTGGTTACAACAGGGAAACCAAAAAACTTTCTTGGAGGGGCAAAGAAATTCTGATCGGTACTTTATGCTCTAACAGATGCAGAATCCAGCCAGATTGACTTTTTATAATTATAATGAGCAATTTTGAGTCAAATCCCACCCTCAGGCCTCCATGTGCTTAGTTTATGTTGAAGCTAGAAGGAATTAGACAATCACAAGCAATGTAGTTTGGCCTCCTGTGAATATCCAATTCCTTTGCAATAATGATAGGGCCATAGGTGAATCCAACAGCTTTGAAAAATCAAAGGGTTTTAAGTAACTTAATAGGGTTAACATCACTGCTGGAATAATGCTGGAGCTTTCCAAGCCCCAGAGACCCCATTGTTAAACTCCTGATGACACCCCACCATCTCCCACTCCCTCTTCTTTTCCTTGAGCCGCAGGGCAGCTCCTCTGGAACACCATCATTTTCTGTCTCTCTGTATCATCCCTCCTTGATCTGTGGAGCTTTAAACACCATGTTGAATTATGAAGATTGCTGGGGATTGTTCTTCTATAGCACTCCCAGGTAATCCTCAAACACCTTCCAGGGTTACAGGGGGAAGCTATGGCTTAGAAACCTTTCAAATTTCAATTAAAATACTTCAGGGATCAACAGGGCTAGAAGCAACAGAAGGCAGAGGGAAGAGGCAAGCTAAAAGCAAAGAAAAGAGAAGTCAGGGAAATTAAGCATTCAACAAAACCAACAGGTAAATATATTAGGAGAGGAAGCAAAAGAGCAAAGCCAGAGTAGAGAGACAAACAGCAGTAGGAAAGAGGAGAGAAGAGGTACAAAAGTAGGGGCACAGAAGAAAGTAAAATTGATGGTGGGAAGAAGAGTACAAGACAAGCAACCACGAACCCAACTTACTTTTCTAGCAGGGTATCACCTTCACAAGCTAAGAACATTTGCCTTTTCAGATACTTCCCACAAAGCCTTATAACTTTGGATGTCCCTCTCCTCCTGCCAAGTTCTCTTGCATCTCTTTCCCTCCATGCTGAAGACACCTCCTTGACCTCTCCCTCCCCACAGTAGACCCTGAAAGGCATTTCTGCCATGTGTAACACCCAGGGCAGACGCATCATAGGTCCATCTAGGCCTTCATGAATCAACACCCAAAGTCACAAAAACGCATGCCTTCTTTCCACAAGCCCCAGAAGCCCAGATGCATGACACCCTACTCACTGCTCTGGTATGGAAAAACCTAGTTGGAAAATCCAGTAATTTCACATAAAAGGTGCTTTTGGGACGTAGGTCCAGGTCTGTATAGCTTGTTACCAATGTGTCTGAGTATCTGGCTAACAGACTAAATATTAATTAGTTATATCTTGGAATATAATGGCTTCATCTCCATAAGATGGTTTCCATTTTAATCTTGGGGGGTGGGGGGAAATAACATGATTTTTGTTTTATTTCTATGTAGGATTTGGTGAAAGCATGCAAACTAGAGACCAGAATTTGCTACCCATTATGCAGGAAAGATAAATATTCTATAGGATACCTATAAATGGGCATTAGATCCAACTACATCTGACCATAAAGTCTTACCCAAATTTTCTAGTTTTAAACTGGGCTTCTGATTTTTTCACCTGACTTTTTTTCACGTTCCGTCAGTCAGTACAATTTTGCCTCTCATTTTGAGATTAGATTATTAGCTCTTTGGCTCAGGGACTATCTTTTTATCGCAGTCCTGCAAAAAGCAGAGCGCCAAATGTACAACATATGTTAGTTTATACTTTGCAATCACAATTTTTCCAGTCCCAGCAAGACACAGGCCCAATAGTACTGATATAAATGTGTGAGTGATTTTGGGAACAGAATTTTATCTCCACCAGATCTGATCACTGAAAGCAATCAAGCAAGCCTGTTCTAACTGTTCTAACTGTTCTAACTGTTCTAACTAGCGGTATTAAAGATAGCAGGAAGGGATTCTACAAGTACATAGCAAATAAAAAACAGACAAGGGAGAACGTAGGCCCCCTCAGGAAGCTCTCGGGAGAACTGGCTACACAGGATTTGGAGAAGGCTGAGGTTCTGAATGACTTCTTTGCCTCAGTCTTCACTGGCAAAGGTTCTGACCGCACCACCCAAGTCTTGGAAGGCAGATGCAGCAACTGTGAGAATAAAGACCTTGTGCCCACTGTAGGAGAGGAACTGGTTCGAGACCATCTTAAAAATCTGAACGTGCACAAGTCCGTGGGTCCTGATGAGATCCATCCGCGGGTCCTGAAGGAGCTGGCAGATGAAGTTGCAAAGCTGCTGGCCATCATATTTGAGAAATCATGGCAGTCAGGTGAAGCTCCTGACGACTGGGAAAAGGGAAATATAACCCCCATTTTCAAGAAGGGGAAAATGGATGACCCGGGGAATTACAGACCAGTCAGTCTCACCTCTGTGCCTGCAATATCTTGGAGCAGATTCTCCTGGAAGGCAGGCTAAGGCACATGAAAATCAACAAGGTGCTTGGTGACAGCCAGCATGGCTTCACTAAGGGGAAATCCTGCCTGACCAATTTGGTGGCCTTCTGTAATGGAGCTAGGGAACTGATGAACAGGGGTAGAGCAGTTGACAACATCTGAACTTTTGTAAAGCATTCGACACTGTCGCACACGACATCCTTGTCTCTAAATTGGAGAGACATCAATTTGACGGATGGACCACTCGGTGGATAGAGAACTGGATGGATGGCCGCACACAAAGAGTTGTGGTCAATGGCTCAATGTCCAGTTGGAGACCAGTAACGAGTGGTGTCCCTCAGGGATCGGTGTTGGGACCGGTCTTGCTCAACATCTTTGCCACTGCCATGGACAGTGGGATTGAGCGCACCCTCAGCAAGTTTGCCGATGACACCGAGCTGTGTGGTTCCATTGATAGCCTGGAGGGAAGGAATGCCATCCAGAGGGACCTCGACACGCTTGTGAGGTGGGCTGATGCCAACCTCATGGAGTTTAACCATGCCACGTGCAAGGTCCTACACCTGGGTCGGAGCAATCCCAGGCACAGCTACAGGTTGGGCAAAGAAGAGATTCAGAGCAGCCCTGCAGAGAAGGACTTGGGGGTGTTGGTTGATGAGAAAATGAACGTGAGCTGGCTTCAATGTGTGCTTGCAGCCCAGAAAGCCAACCGTATCCTGGGCTGCATCAAAAGGAGCGTGACCAGCAGGTCGAAGGAGGTGATCCTGCCCCTCTACTCTGCTCACCTGGAGAGACCTCACCTGGAGTATTGTGTGCAGTTCTGGTGTCCTCAACATAAAAAGGACATGGAACTGTTGGAACAAGTCCAGAGGAGGGCCACGAGGATGATCAGGGGACTGGAGCACCTCCCGTATGAAGACAGGCTGAGGAAGTTGGGGCTGTTCAGCCTGGAGAAGAGAAGGCTGCACGGAGACCTCATAGCAACCTTCCAGTATCTGAAGGGGGCCTATAGGGATGCTGGGGAGGGACTCTTCATTAGAGACTGTAGTGATAGGACAAGGGGTAACGGGTTCAAACTTAAACAGGGGAAGTTTAGATTGGATATAAGAAGGAAATTCTTTCCTGTTATGGTGGTGAGGCACTGGAATAGGTTGCCCAGGGAGGTTGTGAATGCTCCATCCCTGGCAGTGTTCAAGACCAGGTTGGACGAGGCCTTGGGTGATATGATTTAGCGTAAGGTGTCCCAGCCCATGGCAGGGGGTTGGAACTAGATGATCTTAAGGTCCTTTCCAACCCTAACTATTCTATGATTCTATGATTCTATAACTGAATTTATCATCTCCATTTATTTTTCTTAGGAAATGAGAGCCCAAATTGCTGATTGCAGCTTGGTCAGACATGATAAGTGTATCGAGCACAGGATTAGCATCAGAACCATAACTTATTCATTATTTTTATAGTGTATGCAGTTCCTGCTTTAATGTAAATGATAGGCACTCCTCCTCCAACTCTGATTTAATGGGGAGAAAACCAGAAACGGCTTTATTCAATGCTCAGGTCTTTGTAGTAGCAACAGAGTCTGATGCTTAATTAGACAACAAAGCTGGAGAAGAGGGGTGTTGTGGGGAAGGAAGGGAGGCGATGTTCTCTTCTGAACGTGTGCCTGGAACAATTTACTTTTGTTTTACTGCAATTTGGGGATAAATGCATGAACAGGAAGATTTAAACACATGACAGATTTACAGCTGACAACAGCAAAAGGACAGTTGTGGAAAAATACATATTACCAGGAGGGTGAAAGCCCAAAAAGAGGGCAGGAGATGTGGCCTTACTTTCGCCCCATACACTGAGCACTCACTGTTTGTAGTTGTAGGCAATATCTGCAAACTCCTTCCTCCGGGCCCGATACACAGGATCTTTGAACCCCTAAGGAGAAACAGGAATGGTCAGTCCCTATATAAATGCAAACAGAGAACTACCTTCCTCTCAATGAGCAGCCTCTGTCATGGCTGGTGCAGTCCAAGAAGTGCAGGAAGGAGAGTGGGAAAGCTACTTCCATCCTGCCCAGCTCCACTCCTTCCCAGTCTGCAGAGCCACCAGAGCAACCATCCTGCCACAGTCTCCCTGCACCTCTCATCCCTCAAGTCCTTTCATTTTCTCACTTCTGCTTGCTACGAACAAAGGAAACATGCTCCTTTACAGTGCCAACAAGGTGCTCCCCTGGGAGCAGTGCACTGAATTAATGGCACTCAAATAACCGTGTCCTTCTGGTTTCTCAGGAAGCTTGTTGCAGTTCCTGGCACAGCTGGGCTGACCTAGAGGAGCAGAGTTAAGACAAATTAGAAAGACACTCATCAACTCAGTCAGACTTCTTCGGCAGATTTTCAGCATGAACCACACTTAGAGGTGCTCGTTTTCAAACTGTTAGAGCAAAAGTAGGCACTTACCAGGCCAAAAAAGCACCCTATTTGCACTACAAATTCAACCATTTGAAAGTATTTAATTACTACAGAGAATGTCTAATAGACCTTGTGGTGGGGAGCTTGACTTTTTCAGGTTATTACTAACAAAACCAGGGATGAGAAATACAATCTCTAAATCTTCATCTAGGATAACCATTCTCCTACCCCAGTGTGCCTCCTATTTAGACTCAAATTTCCTCAGGGCTAGGAGTGTCTTCACCGCTTAAATTAGAGAGAAGTCCTTCCAAGCTAGGACACCCTTCTGCAGGGCAAATAGCAGCAACTCACTAGGCATTGCAGCAGTTCATGAATGCATCTCTGTAGTGCTCAGCACAGCTGGACTGAGCAACCGCGAAGCTACAACCAAGTACAGGAGGCAGCTGAAGTGGAGTAGAGATCCAACATTTTATGTCAAAAAGGGGCAGTCAGTGGCCTAAAAATGTGCTGTGCAAGATTAGCCTGGCATAGAGCTATTAATGATTAAATCCCATATCACTTAACCAATAAAAACACAGGCTCCTTTAATTTCTATTTTATGCACTCTATGTACTGTCACACCTATTTACTCCAGCAGCTGTGTTTCCTTTTTAAGGCATAAACTGCTAACTAATTCTAGGAACTAGAGCAGAGATGCTTCATTCTTTTTAACATCTTTTTTGTTTTGTTTTGTTTTGTTTCTTTTTTCAAATACAATCCTGGTCTATTCCCGCATGACACACAAGGGGGCCATTGACTCAGTGTATCTCCTTTCATTCTGCCTTTCATATGACCAGGCGGAACATCATGAATCATTGTACATGATGCATAACACATCTCAAGTTAAGCAATAGGTAGTGAATGACTAATCACCCCATCTCAATTAAACTAATAGCAGCAATTTTTGTTGCACTGCATGTAATTTATTTATAATCACCCTATCTCAATTAAGCTAATAGCAGCAATTTCTGTTGCACTGCATGGAACTCAGTGTGTTTTGACAAATGAAAATAAGTTGTTGTTTGCTTGGAGAGGGAATAGAGGCAGAAAGTGTTCTTGTATCTGGAAAAGCTGAAAAAAATGCTGAATATTTTATTTTTATCAGCTAAACCAATGAACAAAACTTTCTGACCCTACCATTTAAACCACAAACTTTTTGAAACAAGGGCCTTTTCTTTTGTTGTGTCTCACAATACAAGAATCATGTCAGACTGAACAACCACATAACAAGGCATTAAGCTCAATCGTGTATATGTAATCAAGGATGAAAAAAATACAGTCTTCTTATCTCTGGGCTCTGATATGCTGCTTCTAAAGTTGCTAGTGATTCTCAGAATGAGTCTAAAGTTACCATGTCAGAGCCACATGGGAAAGCTAGAGGCCCTTGTTGTGGCCTTGTGCTCTGGTGACTACTAAGTTCTCCCAGTATTTGCCCAAATTAAAGCAACCTGTAGTCTGATTTACTTCATAACCAGGGATTGGGCTGGTTCTGACCCTACAAATGTGGTACTCTTCTTGTCCTGTATCATGTGAGACAGTCTACTAGGTTTGTCTGAAAGCAGAGCAAGTGCAAATGAGAGAAACATCTGTCCCAATAACTAGAAGCATGTTAAAAACATAAAGCTCTTTTTCTTACAGGATGATCAGCATCCAGTTCTGCTCCACAGCTTAGGATCTGATTGGCAAACCTGTCCAGCTCTTGGATACTTCTTGGGAACCATGGCACTGCAAAACAGAAAAGAAATTGAGAGTGGTATGCTTCTTCATTACTTGGTTTGGGCCTGCTTTCTGGTCTTTCCTTCTTTTCATCATAAATATAAAGAAACATATGCAAAGGTCTAAATTCTTTGGCCAGCAATGGTCTTTCCCTGTAACAGGAAGCAAGAGCAAACCCTGCAAGTTGTCTTGAATTTGTGACTGTTTTGCACTGTTGGAAGAATTCAGAACATCAGGAATGGCTAGCTCTTGGCACAGAGCTGGCTTGTAATGTTTATGGTTTTCTGTTTATTATTCTGGTTTCTTGGCTTACCAAAATGTAGGAATTTTTCCAGTGTGCTTCCTTTCACAGTAGCTGGAATCAGCCATTTTAAAGGAACAGCAAGAAGCCCCACAACAAGAAGGATACAGGATTATTTGACCCTCCGAAAATCTTTTTCTAAGAAAGACCTACTTGGTGGCCTCACTTAAGCTAGGATGCTGAAATAAAATGATGAATGGCACCCTAATACTTCAGACAGGCATTGTATTACTGTAGCCATTATGCAATAATGCATTCATTTAACTGACATTTTGGGTCTGGTTCTCTATTGCCTAGTAACTCCCTATACACACTGCCTAGAGCACAGTTCAGGGTATGAAATGTGACCACACTGACTATACAGCATGTAATGCCCATGTGGTCCTCCCCTTACAGAAGGACATAAGGTGGAGGTCAAGGAAGAATCACAGAGCTTCACATGTGATGTGTTCAGATAGGGGAAAGCAGAAGGCAAGTGGCTTCATGGCAATTGCACTACAAGGAAAGGCTCTTTGCAGCTCGTGAGGTACATGGGGCAGTCGTACCATGTCAGACCTCCTTTTCTGGTGCCAACACCTCCACCTAAGGATGTACTCCAAGCGCAGGGCGTGCAGTCATATCCCATATGGTCCCCACATTGAGTAAAAGTCAGCAACATGAACTTCAACACTAATACCATGCATAAGCCTGCTGGTCCAAGCCCAAAGGCTTTCAGCAGTCTATCAGTAACATGTTTGCAGTTCATTTAGTGACTTTCTTGCACAGATGGATGCCACTTGTCAATGCTTGGAAAACAGCTCATTCCCCTGTGTGGCTCTCTGCTCAGCTGAGAGCACTGCCACTCAGCCATACCTCCCCATTTGATTTTGGGGGCTATGCCAAGTGAACCTGATCCCCAGCCAGCAGCTGCTGCATGAGTTCCCTGCAGTGCTTTGCTGATGGGGCTCATCCCAGACCTGACAGACCACCTACAGAATAAGAGGATCACTGTATCCAGGACTATTCAGCCTTGCTTTGTACTGAATCTAACAACAGGGAGGGCACTTGCGGCACTGGGTTTCTGCAAGGCACCTGCACAGAGCAGCAGCATCACATTTACAGGGCATGCTTTGGGCTGCCACAGCTCAGCCCCACACAGAGTGCCCACCTTCCCTGACCTACTGCTGTCCTACCACCACCCAGCACTTCTCCTCGGAGCCCTCAGTTTGTTTCGGGCAGGGGCAGGGAGGGCAGGCGTCTGGTGGCTGCCATCCTGGAGAGGTCCTTGGCTGCAGAAACCCCATGCTCCCACCCAGCATAAATGGGGTTTGGTCCCTTCTTCCCGAGCAGCGGAAGCGAGTGCTTTGCCCTACAGAACAGACCTGAACAAGTCACTAGATGGCAGCAGCAGTCCCAGGAAGATCGTCCCAAAAAATTACTCCTTTTGCAGTGTTTCTCCAGAAATGCTCTCTCACCTTGCTGTTAGCACCCTTCCTGCACCTCCGACCCCTTGAGTTAAACTAGTCAGGGTAGAAAAAGGTGTGTTTGAGTCCTAGAGAGGAGTCACTACTCACACCATCTGATGGGCGAGCACACCAAGCCATCCTGCCCCAATTTTCTATATGGCAGCCAGGCACTGGGTTTATCCCCCAGCTCTGACACTGAGCTTTGTGCGATGGTGAAGGAACTGCTTCACTTTTTAGTGCTTCAGACTCACCACTATCAGGTTGGGGTGAGGCATACTGATAACTTTTGGATTAGGCACTGGCAAATAAAGCTGTCTGGCAGCCCCACAGCAAAGGATTTGTCAGTGTTAGAGTGAAGAACCACTACCTTCAGGGACACACCATGACCTGAAGGTTCCAGGCTATGCAGAAAAATCAGTGGGGGCTTAAGTCTGCTGTGGATTTCAGCAGTAATGTCTCTGGGGTTTTGCTGCCCTGAATCAGAAAGGTGTAGGTGGGCAGGGTTTGAATCATTGCAGCTTCAATGGATAAAATAGCTATATAATAGTGACTTACTTTCATTAAATACATTTTATTCTCAAGATCTCCAGGGGACTTGGTGCAGAGCCCATGATAAATTCTGGGACAGACTGATTCCCAGGCTGATGCAGTGTCAATCCTAGGTGTGGAGATGTGTGTCTTGTTTTAACTCAACACAGGAGCAGCACCTTATCTTCTAGGTGTGCGGTCCTTGTGGATATCTGACCAATTTTCAGCAGATCTCTGCCCTTCTCCCTGTTCACCCCATAGACTGACAGTCGCTAAGAGTCCAGCTTGAGCTTGCAGAAAGGGGCAGGCTGTGAAAGGGAAACCCTGAGGGTGCTTAGTGCTATTCGCACCACCGTAGCTGATGTTAAGTCAGGTCCTGGAAAGTCCTGAGTCTTCTCGGCTCTCGTGGAAACAACAGTCAAAGGTCCTGAGCATAGCCCCAGAGCACTGCACAAAGCCCACCCAGCCCTCGCATCAGGGACCGGGGTGCAAAAGGGCTACTGGGTCTTTTGCCTAGCTGTGGTGTGCAGGAGGCCGTCCCCAGCCCTCCCAGCAACTATTTAAAAGATCAAATCAAATTACCCCCTGAGTGAATCTATCCCATATTTTGTTTGCAACATCCTCCTCCTGCCCGTTAGCCAGACTTGCTGTCTGTCTGTACAGCCATTAATGAATTGCCAGGGCAAGCTGTTGCAACACTGGGCCTCTGTGAAGGTCTGAGTACCAAATGTGGGCTGATCAGTAATAAATATTGATTTGTCTGTAAGTGAAACAGCAGCATTTATGGGATCGTACTGGACACCCAAGTGGTGACCAAATTATCATGGGGTCAAATACTTAGCAGAATGCTAATAAGCCATTTATATAAGAGGCAGCAAAGCAGGGGCAGCGAGGACTTCTGCAGAACTCCTCCATTTGGACCATTGTGAGGAGGGTCAAAGAAGGTCTATGCAATTTATAACAGTTCGAGGACCAGGTTTAGTCCTTTTTTAAACAGTCCCAAATGCTTTGGTCAGCCTCAGGGTCTAGCAAACAAGGCCCCTACAGAACATCAGCTCCCAGCCTGTCTCAGAAATGCAATAAATTGTCTGCATTTCCCTAATGCTGCAACAGGATAATATTTAATTCTTTTTATTCATGGGCTCCAAGTGAACTGTAGATACCCAGCTTGTTTCCAAAAACAGCCATGAAGAGACACACTGTTTTCACAACAAATCTTTCCATCTCTACAAAAGGCTTCTGGCCCTGTGACTGCTAACCCATATCATCTGAAGCTCTAAAGGTACCTTTGAATTTAGGTCATTTTGCTGGCCTGCTCTCAGCTAAAATTACACTGTTGATCCAAATCTGGTATTTGTAACCATTTGGGTCTGTCAAAGGGAAACCAAAATCGTATTTTGCATTTAATTGAGACAAAACCCTAAAGCAGTTGAAATGACCAAAAAAAAAGGGGAAAAAAAAAGACATTCATTTAACCCTTGCCCGATAAAGGGTTACATACGTACACATGTGCTTAATACTGATCTGTACTGAAGGGGAAGAATACAGAAATTTCCTCTGGCTGTCCACAAAGCAGTGCCCCAAGAATGGCACCATGTTCTTCCTATGGGAAACTGAGAAAAATTGTTTTGGGTTTGGGTTTTTTATCTCAAATCATGAGCTTGAACAAAATTAATCCTTTGCAAGGAAGGGGTGAGAGCATCTTCAGACAGCAAAGGAAGAATTGGTCCCATGGGAGCCTGAACAGCCTCCAGGAGAAAACGTTCCCAGATTTTACCTGCCCACTGAAAGGAGTGTGACAATATACCCATAAACCATATTTCTGAGCTTTTGCTCCCTGCGGATATATTGCTCTCATTGTGTGTTTTCAGAATAAAATTTCACAGAACACAGCTGTGGATTATAACCAGATTTGGAGGATACATTTGAAAGGCAGGGTGACCTAAGAGGCACCACAAGGCCTGCTATTTGTTAATGCCATCCCTGATAAAGGACAGCATCTTACCACGCTTTCTACAGCTCAGTCTGCTCCAATCTCATTCTGCCCTTGTAGAGCTGTCTCAGCCCAGAATGTGCCACCCACAGTTCATCCCCTAAGCACGGCGTGTTTGACCTTTCAAAATATGGCTCTTTGGGGATTTCAGTTTGACTGGACCCTTACTACTCTTGACAGAAGTTGAAATTGAAGAAAGAAAGAAAAAAAAAAAAGGAAAAGAAAAGGGGAAAGGGCAAAAAGAAATATCAATCTTCCTCTATTTCCTTGGCAATAAATTGCTCCCACTTTACACTATTTCTGAATTACTGAAACTAACAAACAAACACAAGTTATCCTCTCAAACAGAAGGGGATCAAGTCCCTTTCTGCCACAATGAAAGGATAATCTAGCTCAAAAAGCCTTTGATCAACACAGTAATATGCAGTGAAATCCTAATCCTACAGCCGATCATAGGAGTTTTGACTTCTGTGAGGTCAGAATTTCACTCACAAGCCTTTCTAGGCCTATATTTATACCTGTCTCTATCCAACTCTAGCCTATGCTTATGTACAACTTTATTATTTAATAAAGTTTATTATAAACTTCTTAATAATAATCAGAAAAATAAAAGTAATGTCAACTGCTACTAGGCCCTGTAGCTTTCTTCTGGAAATAAAAGAGTCCCCGAAAGAGAGCCTCTTTGATTTGACGTGATCATAAATCACCTAATCAACCTTTTGTCCCTTCGTCTCATGAATGAAGAGAACTGACTCCAAAGAGTATCTGCCTTCTTTTTTTCATCTTCAAATGTAATGTCATGGGTAGGACACAAAAGAAATGGTAAAAGGATTACCAGCACTGATCTCAAGAAGGTATTAATGTCCTTTCATGTTGTTCCTAGGAAGGAAGAGGAAGATCCAGACCTATAGTATTTAAAGTCTGAAATCCTATTAAAATCACATCTGTTATCTGAAAAGGCATTTAAGCATGTCTCAGACTGGATGCTGGGCAGCCACCACCATACCAAGCAGCCTCAACTCTAGCAAATTTCTGAGAATTAGGAATATCGCTTGCAAAATCTTTCCTATTTCACTCTGAAGTCAGAGTTATGACTGACATCCCTGGGATTTCCTACAGGAATGAAGAGTTATTCCTGCTTCCACCAAAGTGGATTGCAGAGACTTACTATAGCAGGAGTGAGGGGCATCCACAAGCCCAAAAGTCAGATGGATGGTGTGAGGGATAGCAGCGAGCGGGCAGGTAGTCACTCATGGGACTTTTCCTCCCTCCTCTCAGCTCAGCCCAGGGGCACAAGGGTCTCAAGGATGGGACTGCAACAGCCACAGCCAGGGTCCATGAGGCCAAATGGAAAGCAAATCCAGGTGTTTAAAGGGGCATGCCAGCCCTAGGGAGCACAGGAGGGTAATCCCTCCCTCTGCCCCATGAGGATGCCATCCTTCCATACCAGACTTTGTACAGGACCGGGCTCTTGTTGACTCTGCTACACCACAGAGTTTGTGCCAGAGTGATCTGTGAGGTCTCAGAGACATTTGGCAAGAGGGAGGGCACTGCGACAGCACTTTGCAACACTTCAAGGTGGCAAAGTCTGTGTTAACAGGGTCTGTGTATCACTGAAAAGTTAATACACAGCTTTTTTTCACCTGAGTGCTCTCTGGGAGAAGTGTTCAAGATAGGGGAGCCCCCCAGCTGGGTCACACAATGCACCAGTCATTGTAAATGTCTCCAGGACACCCCCTTGGTGACCTCCCTGAGAGACTCCAGGGAGCCATCCTTCCTTAGGAAGGTGAAAGGCATTTTTCAGTAGGTGACATTTTTCCACAAAATGGCACTGTAGAGGCTTTACTCTGCTGGGTACTGAACAGACACAGATTTATTATGGGGATGGGGTGGGAAGGAATAACGCCTGGATTTCTCAAGGGAATTGATCTGCTATCTACAAGCCAAGCCCATGCATGCAACCACAGATTTTGCTGGAACTGTTTGCCCCTTTAAATAGTAATGGAGTTTATGTGGGTTTTTTGAATCAGGGCAGACAGTAACTAGACAGATGTAGTGCATCCCACAGAGATCCTTGTTTACTCTTTTCTTCAAAGTTCTCATGTGTACGGAGAGCATAAGAAAAGGTTGAAAGTGTACAAGCCCTGCAGTGACTTTTATTGCTCAGTGGTCCAAAGGCTATGGGATGATAGTCAGAGATTCAGTGAACATGTCATTGGGCTTGATAAGCTAATGTATCTGCATTAAACATGGTGGTATGGATCCCACCTGCACCCCTGTTTATTCCTTCATATTATAGGTGTGAATCAAGAACAAAAGTTGCCACCCTACATGACTTGCACAAAACTGTGTATATAAATGCTGCCTAATTTAAAATAAGGCAGAGACTGGGAGCAGAAAATAGATGTACCTACAACTTCCTGCACTGCTCCTTAGGGATGTACAAGTTGAGCCCTTAGCCTGTAATTCAAATCATTCTTTGATGCCTGGTAACTTCTGCAGGCAGTGTAACAAGCTACGGCAACAATGCTGTATTTCAGAGACTGAGAGTGCTGTCAACCAGACAGATGACAGCATAACACCATAACACCAGTTCCCAGGAGAACTAAGCATGGCAAAAGATGGAGCATGTCAGTTTACATTGAGAGAAAATCTCCAAATGAAAAATCTTACAACACAGGCAAAATAGCAGAGGTAGGGAAACATAGCCATACAGATCCAAAAGGAACTCCATTGCTACAGGAAAAAGAAGTCAATATTTATGTGTGATGTAAACATTCCTTGGCAATGTCATCCTTGTTACTGTATCCTTACCAGTGTCCTTCTTCTTTGTTCGTGAAAGCTCATGGACTGTTGCTCCGATATCATTTCTCAAGGACTTGATGATCTTGTCCAGTGCTGGAACATTCTTGCCTTCCAAATTAATGAAGAATTCATACTCATCTTTGTTGAGTCGGGAAGGTCGGGACTCAATATGGGTCAGGTTTATTCCTTTTTCCTATAAGAAACAGAGATTTTGGTCCCACAGGGTTTGGGTGAAGAAATATGACATAAATACTAGCTAAAATTAATGTGTTAGACAACAGCTCCTCCAATACAATACAAATAACTCAAAAGTAAATTCTTGCCACTGATGGCCATTCTACTGAAGACTTTCACAACAGGGAGGGAGACAAAAAGGAAGAATGAGAAGGATACGGTATTCCCCCTTGTGCAGAGCACCAACATAAAGACTATGAATGACACAAACCTTTGAAAAAGGTGAAAGTAGGATACAAGTTGTAAATAGACTTTGTATTGTAAATGGTGGCTCCAATACCACAAATACATAATGGGAGCTTGTCTGTGTAAACAAGAACATCTCCTCAGGATCAACTCGGGAAGTAGGCGTTTCACCTGAAGAGAACCCTCTCATGAGAAAATGAACACTGTATTTATAAGCATCTTGAAAGGAGGTTGGCAAAGCAAGCAGCTGGGCACCCTGTGAGATAAGCTTCTGCCAAGCCACTGCACAGTCACCTGCAACACCACCTGTGTGGTTTCCAGGGCTGTGAGCAGGTGCTGGGCAGAGATCCAATGCGAAACATGGATCCACACCAAAAAGGCAGCCAAGGGTTTTGCAAATAAAAACATGGGTGTTTTAAATCACAGAATCACAGAGTCGCTGAGGTTGGATGGAGCCTCTGGAGATCACCTAACAGCCTGCTAAGGCAGGGTCTGATAGGGCAGAGTGCTCAGGACTATGTCCAGCTGAGTTTTGAGTATTTCTGCAGATGGATACTCCACAGCCTTGCTAGGAAACTGCTCCAGAGTCTGACTACTCTCACAGCAAGGAATTATTTTCTTTAGCACAGACATTCAAATTCCGACCCACCGAATATCTTTCCTGACCAGAAGAGAAGCTCTGAAGAAAGGGATTATTGGCAACTATAGCCTTGATGTCCATGGCCAGTGGGTACCCAACCTCAGACATGCCACCATGTCAATGTGTAAAGCAACATGTAGCCAAAAATCCTATTTTTTCCAGTCACATAAATGCAACTCCAGGAAAATCTCCCTCAGTTTAGCTGAACTCAAATGCTTTCTGGAGCACTGTAGTTTGAAGTCTCTTTTTTTGAGAAAGACCTTTTAAACAGATTTTGGTTGGTGCTGACTTTACCACCTGACCTGTCAGGCTTACACTGGAGCAGCGGCCACAGCACATCATGGCCAGGTGTGGGCTTCTGTCCCTTGGGAGGGATAGGCAACCCCCTGGAGGAAGTTTTGGCTTGAGGATCAAGCACAGAGGATTCAGAGGAGCTGACACGCAGTGCTCAGCAGCCCTGGAGCAGCTTTTGTTTTGCTGCTTTCAGGTTTAAGACCCCAAACTACGTGGGGTGGAATGATGGCCCTGGTGATATCAGTGTCAACCCCCCTGCTGCAGTGGGGTCAGAATTTAATCCACGAAAAAACGCTGCTAGGATCTACTTGTGACCTACAGGGAAGAAAGAGGGAAGCTTTCTTTTCTGTGCCTCCCTCCAGTCTGAGCTTCTCAAGCCCCTTAAGGTTTTCTTTGCTCCTCTCAGTGCTTGCACAGCGCAGGGGGGCATCTGGCCATCAGCGGCAAAGACCTCATTCACTCCACCACAAAAGGCAGTTTATTACTTTGTAGGAACCAGCATGCATGTCATTCCTCTGTTTCCTGAGTGTCGCACGCTACAGATGTACTTAAATTGTTTGGCTATATACCAACACAACAAGTTGAAAAGGTCAAAAGCGCATTCGTCGACTGCTGCTCTTGAGAGATGCTGTCCTTGTGGGGCCGTCTGTGGGAGAGAATGGCCGCCACTGTCCAGGGCCCCAAGGACAATTTGTTTTAGGCCTCCAAAGCCCCATTTCACAAACAGGCCTCCCATTGTACCCTCTGCTCGGTGAGGAGCTGGGAGGTAGGGCAGCCTGGAGCTGGAAGTCCGGATAATTCAGGGATGGAAAGCTATTGACAAAGAGCAGGCGCAGGGGGCTGCCAGCCCCTTTGCCATGGCCACAACATGGAGAGCAGTGTGGCAATGTGTACCCAGGGCACAGAGCTGCTCGGCTGCTCTGTGCAGCCGCACACAGAGCTGGAGAGTGGGTGTAAAACCTCTTCCTGCCAAAGGCTCTGCTCAGGCACACTGAGGTACTGCTTTACCTTCATGTTGCACTGATGTGTCAGGGTATTTTGTTCTGCCTCTGTGTGGATGCATGTGGGAATGGGGTCCCAGATCCTGACTGGGCTTTCTAGATCTTGCAGGGGCTGTGATAAGTATTCAAGGCCAGGTTGAATGGGGCTTTGTGCAACCTGGTCTAGTGGAAGGTGCCTGTGCCTATGGCAGGGGGGTTGGAACTGGATGATCTGTAAGGTCTCTTCTAACACAAACCATTCTGCAATTCTGTGATTCTGTAACATGGACCTCTGTTCAGTAGCAGTTATCCCCTCCTTCCCGCCCTTACCCACAAGTGTTTATCCCTGCCTTAGCATCTCTACCCCATAGATTGTGTAGCTGTTTGAGTCTGATACTTCAATTATATCCTTTTTTTTTTTGGCTTTTCCATTGTATCCGCTCTTCAACCTGTCTCAGCAGGCAGCTGCATGAACAGCAGTGCCCACCAAATGGAGGGAATGATGCAGGGGTTGGGAATGAAGAGACAGGCTGCAGTGTTGGCACATAGCACGCTTAAGGCAGCAGGAGCATCAATGCCTCCTGAACTATCACTACAATCTAAGAGAGTGAGGAAAAGGAAAAAAACAGAAGAGCTCACAGAGAGAGTCATCTCCCTTCTTACACCTGAGAAAAGCAGAACAGCTTCCTGCAGAGTGAGAAGAGATCCTTCTTTTCTCTCTTCTGTTTGAGGGATGCCTGCAGCTCAGCAATGCGCAGAGCTAACCCTGTTAGAGTTACCTCTTTGTGCCAAGGCTTTGGGACCTCACAGCAGAGAAGCTGAAGGGAGAACCCTTCTGGTGTCTATTTTCAAACTAAGAATTCAGCAGCATCCATCCAAATCCCTGAACTGGTGCTCCTGGAGAGCATGTTCTCATATGCTATGCATTGATACTAAGCCACCGATTTCAAAATATTTACAGAGACTGTTACTAGAGTTAACAAAGCTCAATTTCATTCTAGTCCAACTACTCCATCTAGTGTTTAATCTTCATCGTTTCACATTGTTCAAAATATTTTTGTATCCTCTGCATCTTGCATTCGCACCAGGTTTCTCACAGTAGTTGATACTTAAAGTTCCAACTTCTGGAGACAAATGGTTACCTGAGAAAGGAGAATGGGGACATTGTTTTGTCTAGTTACTTATTTTGAGCAGTTTTCAATCTCTGCGTTTTTTAGTAGAGTTTGAAATCTTGACAACAGATGCCCTCAAAAGACAATTAATAAAAGTTCTGTATTTATTTTATGCAACTTCATGATTTCTGAGCTATTTTTTGTTGATGGAACCTAGCTCCTAGCTTTCTAACTGGTTTTGGAAGATCTGGGCTGTCACATGTTTGAGGCTGGATTCACACAAAAACGATTAGTATTCGTCTCTCCTGCCTTTCCTATTTTAGACCTCATACAAATCAGATCAGCCCATGCCTTGAGATTAGAAGTGCCTTTGCTGAATTCACCCCATCGCTCACTGCAGCTGCAAAGAACTTGGAACAGGTCGGTGCTTCCCTACTGACCCATTGGACAGATCCCAGAGTAGGGCCACAAAGATGGCTGGAGCATTTCTCATATGAAAAGAGGCTGAGGTTGTTGGTCTTGTTCAGCCTGAAGAAGAGAAGGTTCAGGGGAAACCTTATAATGTCTTCTAATACCTAAAGGGGGCCTATGAGAAATCTGGAGAAGGACTTTTTACAAGGGCCTGTAGTGATAGGACAAGGGGGGATGGCTTTAAACTGAAAAAGGACAAATTTAGGTTAGACGTTAGGAAGAAGTTCTTCACTATGAGGGTGGTGAGGCACTGGCACAGGTTGCCCAGAGAAGCTGTGTCTGCCTCATCCCCAGAAGTGTTCAAGGCCAGGTTGGACAGGGCTTTGAGCAACCTGATCTAGTGAAAGGTGTCCCCGCTTATGGCAGAGAGGTTGAAACTGGATGACTTTTAAGGTCCGTTCCAACACAAACCATTCTACGTTCCTCCTCAGGCTTATGACCAGAATACAGGTTGAAGTCTCTCCTGCAAGGATACATCATATCATACAACCATGTATCTGCTGGAGCGCTCCTGTATTTGTAGAGCAAGGGTGGCTGTCCACCTTGCATTTATGTCAAAACAGTGTACTAGGCCATTTCTAATTTACTTTTTAGCAAGTATTAATAATCCAGAACAGATTTTTGCCTTGAGGACTAACAACTAATGGAAATCACAGAGGTACAGTATTGCCAAATGCCTTGAAGTTAGCAGAAGCCACTCAAAATTTCTTGCTTTTTTTCTTAAAATCTCCACTCCTGGGGGGGGGGAAATCTCAGCTTTCATGATTTGAAATCCAAGTTAATTGTATCTCTATCATTTCCCATTAGACAAAGTCCCAAGATATGTTTTCAGAGCTCAAAAACCAAGTTAGAACTAAGTCCATTTCATGTAAGTCATGATTTTTGAATGTCAGGTGTTAGCAATGCAGATTGCAATTTACAACAGAGGCAATGGTGGATGCAGGAGGAGATTGCCCATCTCCCTGCCTGCCTTACCCACACTGCTGGATCTCAGCCTTGGCTCCCTCTCACAGGCTGTGAAGCAGCTACAGCCCCTTCCCCGTGTTATTCCAGTTATGGCATCCTGACTGAATATCTCCCACACTGCAGCGGCCCCACACCAGCAGGATCAAACCAACCAAACCAAACAGTACACTTCAGTCTTGCAGAGGTCACTGTGAAGAGAATTTGGTCCCACCCTCAAAGAGTTTAATGGCCTGGTCATTGGTAAAGAAAAGTTATGTTTTCACAGCTCCATGGGGAAAATTTCAATGGGGATGGATACTTTCTGGGAATG